TATGCACTATTTAGGTCTAGGTGGTGGGAACCTCAATTTCCCTTTCCGTGATCCCGTGTGCGTGGAACTCGTCCCGGCGCACGGCCGGATCTTTCACTTATTTCGAGAATCGTTCTGGACTAAAATACTCGGCTACGAAAAACGTGAAAGAATCACGTACCGAATATACATACAGCCATATGTATATCGTTTTTTAAGTCTCCAGAGTAAATGACATAAAACAAGATCAGAGTCGGTTCGATGAAAAAAAAGTACCCAAACACTTACAGGCAATAGTATACGTATACTAACAGACACATATCCTCAGAAGGAGAGAAGAAGAGGTATTAAAGAGCATTTTCATGGGGACTTAGGGTCGGAAGCGACGATTTCGGCATCCTTGATCGCGTACTCTACATTTCTAATGTTCCCGGGGATCAGATGGCGAAGTCAGAGAGAAGGATGGACTGTAAAGAAGCGACGGGACAGCTGCAGCCACCTCGAAGAAACGATTCGACGCGGGGATAAAGCGGTTAGGCCCCTATATCCCATCTTCCATTTCTTTTTGCATCCTACTCACTTACTCTCTCTCTCTCTCTCTCTCCGCCCGGTTTTCACCCGGCCTCTCATTTCTGTTCCGTTTCTCTCTCGCCTCCTTTTTTCTCTCTCCAAGTTCGAATGGAGGGAGATGTGTATCTCTGAAAATAGGATTGGTGCGGTACGCATTGTGCCGAGGACACTGTCTCTCCACCTCCTCGTTTCACCTACCCTCCCCTATACCCTTGTATTTATAGCCCTCAGGCTTTTCCACCGTGCTTCGCGCCCTACGACCGCTTAATTCGACCGCTCGCGAGAATACAATCTCTCTCCGGTCGAGAGGAGACCTGGCGTCAATAGCCACAAGCAAATGCCTACCAACGAGGATGCAACACAAGGGACACCAGGTGGACTCCCTTGCTACTTACGTACCTACCCTCCGACACACCGGTGTGTCTCCTCTTTCTTTTTTTTTCCTCTCCCTCTTGTTCTTCGATTGCGTCGACAAAGGGAGGAATAATTGAGTTCCTGAATGAGCACGTGCAAAAAGGACACGCAATCAGGGGGTCTCCTCCGTTAAGATTATTTTCTTTTTATTATCCCTTCCCTCTTTTTCGTGCTTTCATATCTCATTTCTTTAACGAAAATTGTTTGCTGAAATCAGTTGATTCATGAAATTGGTCTCTTATTACAAGGAACGACGTTTTTGCTTTCTTTCATTGCCACGATCGATCATGTTTCTCTGTAGCATTTGTAAAAGAACGTTCGTAGTTTGTAACACTCCATAACGAAATGCACGGCTATACAATTTCAGGCAGTAAACTAAAATCTCCGATACATTTCCAACAAATCTCTCCGATTCTACCTTCGCCAAACAAAATCCTGCTTTCCTGTTATTTTTCATCCCTGTAATACTCGGCAACAGCTCAAAACATCAATCATTCACTACTTTATTTCCAACGTCACTAGGGAAAGGAAATTTATGCCTTCAATAAAAACGTAATAGCTTTTATTCCTCACGAATTTTTTTCGAAGAGAAAAGTCAACCCTTGGAAACGATTTTCGAGCTGTTTCAACATTTTACGACGATGAACGCAAAGGAGAACTGAGATAATTTCAGATGAACAATGATGGTGGATCCTAGAGGACGAAACATATTTTTTTCTCTCTGCTCGGTTGGAAGCTGCGAAAATTTCTACGCGGGCATAAACTGTCCCAGCGCACTTTCATCCCGTTCATTGTCAGCAGCCCCTTCGGGCCTCTTTGCCGAGGCGCGTTTGTGGCCCATTTTCACAGCACGACGGCTGTTAAATAGGATCGCTCGCAGGAATACCTTTTCTTCAGTCAAGGGGAAACTAATCACGGAGCAAAGCGCAGCGTGCGCGAGCGAATGCGCTCATCCGTGGCCAAGGAACACACCCCGGCCAGGTGCGTTTATGTATGATTTACCACGGCCGTGTTGGAAGTCGATCGACCATTCCGTTCGAGGAAAAAAGAAAAAAGAAAAAGTGGCCGGTGATCCGTTCGCGGTTTATTAAAATTTCTCAGGAGCCTCTCAACCCTCCGTTTCGCTATTTTCCTCTCGTTCCGTTTCCTCGCTCGATCGGCCGGCGATAAAACGGTATACAGACGTAGAACAAACGCGAGAGATTCGCGATAATCATACCTCGCTCCGTTTCTTTGGTCCTCTGACGAGGGCCTCGGCTTTCCTCTCGAGTCCGTGGAGATCGATTCGAAAGCAATCGTATCGGATGCTGCATTCAGACCTCGACTTTAATTGTGTGAAGTCTCTCGGCTTTGTTTACCGCGACGGCGCAGCGTTTTTTAATTGGAGACGGCGGGAGGATTCCGGGAATCACATGATTTCGTATTTTCATCGTGTCTCGAACGATTATTGCATCGATGACAAACTTTAATCGTCACAATCGTCAGTCTGTCTGAATATTCATGAAAAATGTATTCTCACTGTTTATCTTTCTAATAACAAAATTAGATGTAGCGTTTCATTAATCTATCGTTTTACGTCGCGTTGAATTATGAACGTGAAACTTCATTTAGGGTTTCAGGTATGTACGTTGCAATGCTTCAGAAGATTTTGCTATTTTCCACGGATATTTTCCCGGCTTTCTCGTATTTTAAAGCGTTACTATCATTTTTTTTTTAATTGCCCCGATGCTCGTTATTGTTAACGCACGATAAAAACGTAATTCATCGAATGAAAAGCAACCGGATATCAAACGCAGATATTTCTCGGAACAATCATACTTTTGGACTAATAAAATGAATTGCAAAACTGAACCACTTTGTACGTTCCCAATTATCGGGCGCAACAATAAAAACAGCAATGCGAGTGCCGTACGTCAAAACAAAATCGTGATATTATATTTCCGTGAGCGACACGAATTTTATTCTATATTCTGGAATTGTTCGTCCGCATAGAAGAATTTTTCGATAATTCCGAGATCACCGTGGATTAAAAAAAAAATAGTCCCATTTATAAATAGTTCCATTGTTCGCGTTTCGTTTATCTCTTCGATTAGAATTGGAAATCTGTTTAATCATGATCGATCTGTTTGCTAATTCTCCGCGTAAGACCAAAAAGCGAGGCAATTAACGAGCTAATTAAATATCAATATTATCAATGATAATAACTTAATTAATACCGAGCATTAAATTAATCGATATGAAGCATATAATTAAACAGTGAATGATTACAGAATTAACATGCAATTAAACGGTGGATCGCATAGCCGTCGAAAGGAAAGGCCCCGGGGACGGTCAAACGGACGATCGATAAGTAAGGCAAACAATAGTCTTGTCACGTTCGACGATGAAGATCGGTCGGGAAAAGCGTATGCGAACGATTGCTCGGGTCGCGATATTAAACGTGATTCGCGAGACCGAGGCAATCTGCTCCACGGAGTGCACACATCGGACATTATTAATCAGACGTTTGAGCCGTGGTGGTGCAGCCAAGTGTTTGTCGACGCGAAGCAAGTGGACGTGCGCATGATTTATGAACCTCGCCGATACTACATACTTAGGTGGGTGTTGTCACGGAGCACGTTGCCGCGGCAAAGTCGTTCAATTTCACCGATTTTCCCATTAACCACCGGTACCGCAGCACGCCGGCGTGCCGTACGAAAATTTAATTCCATAACGGAGGCCCCGAAATGGCTGGGTAATGACGGAGGAACGAGGGGACGGCAGGGAACGGAACAGAGCCATGCATTCCGCCGCGTACTTAATACCTGCACCGCAATATAAGCCGATGTTAATAATCGCCGAGAATATTTTCGGACCGGGTTTCCATCGACCCCGAAAAATAGTAATAACCCACGGAACGGGGTAAGGGTGCATTTCATTAACGGGTCTCCTCCCCATGAGCCGAAGTTATCGAGATTAGAAGTATCCCCCGCCCTGCCATCGATTTCTTTTTTCTACCCTGGATATCAGGGAATTAATTATGAAGTGTGAGCCGGTAGCTTTACCCCCGCAATATATCGTTCCTTTAATATCACGGCCCGAAACATTTTAAGACGTTTAACCCCTTGCCTTCGGACGCGAGCTTACTGCGAAGAAAATACGATTTTCGGTGTATTTATTATGAAACCGCGATTGTCTTTAAATCTGACTGTGATGTTCAGCCGGGGGACAAATTTTCCGGCGACAGATGCGATTTGATGCGTTTAACAGTTCGCGGAATCGGGACTGGACGGCTCGATTCGCTTGTTGCCCACGCTTAACGATAGACCATTGAACCGTATACGCTTTTGTGAGCAGCGATTTTTGCGGAATCATATTAAGCTTGGCTCGCAATAATATTCGTTCCCGAGGGTACACGTACAGAGGTATATTTGCATCCGATCGTTTATCGAAAATCGCCGGTGGTCAAGCAAATCTTAACCGCGTCGATGGTCGCTCGACTTTGTTACGGGATAAAATATTGACGTCGGCATGGTGGTAAAGCGAATTTCTCTTTGGTCGCGGACCTAGAGTCATAGTTAGGGGATGAAGCGATATTTCGCGTGAATGAATTTTTTGATTAATTTGTCAGAGAGTAGCAAAGTTGATTATTATATATGAAAAACGTATATTTTTACGAAGACTATAATATGCGGGATGTAATTATGAATCCGTTGATAAATTAATGGCCCTGAAGGTCCGTTACACGACGGCGAACTGCATATGCATCCGTTAAACGAGTTACACGTTATACCTGCAATTAATCTCATATGCATAGCTTTTACTGCTGATCCTCGATATGACGCTAAAAGAATTCGTGTTACAGCGTGTTACTTACGAACGGTTGTACGATGAGTTATATTTAATTCAATATCACGTATACAAGCTCGTCCTATGCCGTGACACGACAAAGGGAAGAACAATTCTTTCGTTTCGCGTACAGCTGACTCGCCGCCAGAGGCGGAAACATCCGTGACTCATTGTCAGCGTGGAAAAAGGGGTGGCGAGGTAATACTTACACCGACAGACGTGGAGTTTCAGTACGTCTCCCCGGAGTTGTGCACATCGACCTGCGGCGCGGCGTGGATTTCGCACACACACGGGTCCTCCTCTCCGGCTTCCGGCCCGTGCGAGTCCTCGTCGCCGTGGTTCACCGACGCGAAAAGTCTTCGCTCGGACGTGGTTGATCAACTGGCACAGGCACCTTTCATCCGTACGCGGGGCCGGGTCCGAAGCCAGCCAGGTTTCCTCGAGATCACTGGCCAGCCACGTGACTAGCCGTGGGAAACAATCGGTATTTGTGCGAAGCACGAGCTCCGTACGCTCGTGCACATTGGGATCCGCGAGCGAACTGGCCGCGCGAGCGGACTGCCCTCGAGAGGAATCGAAAACAGCGGCTCCGCGTGCACGGACTTGCCGTGTCTGGGAGACAGGCGGACGGACACGAAAAAGTTAAGCACGTACTTTACCACGGCGAGAGAAACTAACAACAAAAGACACGGGAGAAACAGAGCGGACGGCTATACAAAGCGGGGCGGACGAACGGGGAACAGGGATAGACGAAGGGAGAGAGAAGACAGACAGAGAGACAGAAAGAGAGAGAGAAATAGAGATAGAGAGAGAAAGAGAGAAGGAGAAAAAGAGAGGACGAAAGACCGCGGTTTCTCCCTGAGATTTCGAGCTGCACTGCAAACGGGAACAGTCAGTCCTCACTGAATCGGAGTTTGCCTACGTACTCGCGGCTGAGAGTCTTCGGGATCTGCGCAGTTGCTCGCTCACCACCACTATTTTCCACCACCATCGCCACCACCACCACCGTCGTCGTCGCCGCCGCCGCCGCCGCCGCCACCACCACCACCATTCCGTTAACCCCAAACCTCCATGGCTCCTCTCTCTCTCTCTCGGCTCCCAACAACCCTAAACTCGAGCTCTAGCCTAGGCAGCGCCCTAACTACGCCTGACGAAGGCTCCAAGCGACGCGTGAACGCGAGATTATTCTTATCCGACCGAAGATTGCTTCCGACAAAGTTACAACTCGGCTCGCGGATTGCGTGCATGTAAATGCCACCGAGCCTCGCCTCGCCGATGCAGCTATTCACGACGTTCTACGCGATGTGCTTAAGCGTGTACCACGCAAGATGAATGCGGTAATTACGATTCAAAATCGACCGGTGCATCGTGAGGAATCGATGCAATCGCTCGTGTGCTCGAAGAACGATGCACGCGGAGCTTAGACTCTCTTTAGGACGACGCTCGCCAAGGATGAAACAGTCTCACGTCAGATCGGTACGGTACTTCCGCAGCTTCAGAAGTATTTTGTACCGAGAGAGGTTCCAATACCTACGCATAGTAACAGTCGTTTGATAAATTCTAATCTCAAGTTTATAATATAGTTATTGTCTCCCCGTTTCCACACTGTTTTATCTTATCGCCAGGGCTACGCCTTTTCACATACGCTAATTGCCTGTCCCCAAAGCACAATGCTTATTTAAAATAGTTTCAACTATCTTCGCATGAATACGCGAGATTTAATTTAGTCGTAATCGCGCCGTTAACGCTGTTAATGGTAAGTACAGCAGCGAAACCGGTTGCTTAAAATTAGTCAGAGATTCGTTGCTCCTGTGCTATGTTAAGAATGTTTCAAGCGTACTACTGAGGATACCTTTATCTCGTACACGTTTGCATCGTGTGCGGTACTTACGTTACGGTAGTGGTTTCTCGCTTCTGCTGGCAGGTCTCGAATAAAAGAGAAGAAAAGTAGAGCTCGGTCGAACAAGACCGGTAATTCATCAGTGTAGCCGCAATGTGTACAAAAACGACTCTCGGAGATATTCCTTGGCAACTCGTATTGCGTAATTACTACGGGATCATCGATTTCCCAAACTTGTCGTTGATTTTTTGCGCAACGAGTAGAGAGCGAGCTGAATAGCCCGCGCCGGTTTTAGATAGAAGACCGAACGACCGTGTTAATAAGTTTTGAGGGCGACTAAAAATCTGGCGACAAGGAGGAGGAATCTTGTACGAAGTGACGCTTCCTAAAGTTCGTTGCTCCGTACATGTTGTCTCCGCACAGTCCGCGGAACGTTGGACGTTTGCCAAAGTCATTCTCACATAATTTCAGGAGAATATAAGCGCCAAAAAATACACGGGACCCGCCGGCTATGATTCCGCTATAAATCTATAAGCAGAAGAATAATCGTCGCTGGTTCTTGCAGTGGCGAAACGTTAACGTGACCCGGCTTAATTAAATTCGATCCGCTCATGTGATACTACTGTCGTTTTAATTCACTATCGTGAGAGAGATCGCCGGGCGAGCAGTGCGCGTCGAATACTCACCGTATAGTATATCACCTTCGCTCCTGCTTCACGGCAGATCACGCGATAAATATAAAAAGCATACGTTTCGCTAATTAATCGCGAGATACGTATCGAAAAACAGAAAGAGAAATAATGAAGAATAACGTAATTATCTGAGCGCGATGGTCGATTATTATAAAGTGATAATTGCGTCTGATTTATTTCACTATTAAAATCGTTCGAAAGAAATTGTATTTTATCGTTATTCGAGTTTATAATATAAAATCTGATAGAGGTGGAACGTGAGCGCCATCTGATGCTTTATATGCAAAGCGGATAATTTGATTGCCACGTCGATAAAGTGATTCTGTCCTTTTTTCTCTGACAACTATTGCACGCTTTTCGAGCATTTAAATAAATTGTTAAATACATGTATAGCACGATTGAATCGAGTTTATTACGATTCGAAATATGAAAAATGACTATTGAACAGAATAAATACTAGGAAACGCAATTTGCAAATTCGTTGCGTGCAATGAAGGGTGACTGTTTTTAAAGGATATCAAAAGCCAATAAATAATTTGAGGCCGTACGATTTTGCAGGTGCATGAAATAAATTTTTGTAATAGTAAAAAGATGAATTTGCATCAGTCTAATTGCAGAGCGGACATAGACCAAGGCAAAAGTCAATGGTATGACCTTAAGCTTTCATAATTACATTAGCGTAACATGAATAAACATGATAACATACGAAAACGATGTCAAATGTGTGCGGAGATAGTACACGCGTATAAAAGGACGTATGAAATGTGATGTTCCAGATAATGTTCTTACGTAATTATGTATTTCGTCGCTTAAACATTTTTAATTAGTTAATATGCGTATATCAAATGTATATTCGATTTCGTATCGACGGCCTTTAAACGATTCGTACTTGTGCCGTTCCATCGAACTTTTCCATATAAAATAATTTTATTATAGCGGAATAAAATTGAAAATAAATAGAGAAACGAAAAACTAAGAAGACTAATCTTGTACCTATATCTGGAACTTCGTATTTGTTAATCTCTATATAATTAGTGGTACGATGAAGTGATAGAATCAAAATTGTAAAAGTGTATTAATATATATTAATCATTTTATACTACTCCTAAAACTGCTGAACCGTACGTCAAAACCAGTCCAGTGTTTCTGTATAAACTCGAGACTCATTGAACGCTGCACGTAACACTTCCGGTTCATTAAGTACGAAAGAAAGAAACACGCTAGTTGCCATTAAATCTGCGCCGTTGATGCGTCCCGTAATCATTTGGTCATCAATGTTTGAAAAGGAAAAACGAATAGACGACAGCAGGGGCCTTGGCGCGGTCGATTCTATGAAACGGGGAAATTAATCTGAGGCGATAATTCAAAGCTACGCTGCTATCGAGAAACCTAATGTCAATTGCAAAGTTAATTGACGCACTATCTCTCTCTCGCGCTCTCGTCCACCGTGGAGGAGATACGAGTGTGGGGTTGGCAGGTCGTTGTTCCTAGTCAAGATCATGAGATCCCTATTCCCGACATTTCGCAATGCCTGGCGTAATGCCTGACCTCCGCTTCCAATTCTGCCGAATGCAATTCTTCAGAATTCGACGTGGCTGCACTCATCACTCAATCACGCATTGACTACGTGAACAAACGCTTTCAGACGTACGGGTGACACGTACCATATCCAAGCCATATCGATTTCCCATTGTCCTCTATAGGCATCCAATATACATACGTGGCCCCTTTGTCGTGTTATGACAATTGATGCAAAAATATTACACTAACGTGATTAGCATTCAATTTACGAATATTCAGACGAAAGAGATTTTCCTATACTCTGTCAACATGTTGACTGGCTTTTATTTACTTCTGACGTCGCAGATTCTAGCATTATTAATTTCTATCTTCTTATACAAGTCGAAATTCGCGATAATAGTAAAATAAATTGATATATTAAATCCCATGTTTTCTATTGTTTAATAGTAAATATCATACGAAGATAGGAAATTTTTGAGTTAAGAAAGAGAGAGTTAAGGATGTATAGGCTATATACTTGAACAATGCTAGCATGTTGAATTTGTTATTATTGTATAGCCAATACATTTAATTACCATCACTTAATTTAAATATGAAATATCTGACTTTTACGCGGTTTCGAAAACTTGTTTCTTCTGAATTATTTATCCACAGTTAGCCGGTATTCAAATAAACCAATTGATCGCCCCATCTCTCGGTTTGGTCCTAACCTAAGCTGTACACGTTCAGTACACAAGTACACGTATATGAATATGTGTAATTCGACATATAAACACGCGGAAAGAAGACGCGAGGCTCGTTATCATATAGCTATGCTTATCTCGCGAAGAGAGTAATATTTATAGTGACGCTCACGTAACCACGTGAAAAAAGGTCGTCGATTAAAAATACCGCCTCGACTATTAATTGAACGCAATTAATGGATTGACCCAAGCCCAAGACAGCAAGCCCTCCTTGCTTTAAATACTATTGCCAAAGCAATCGAGAGTAGTTGGACGCATGCGCGCGTTGTGTCACCGGTGTCGGTGACTACTTCAGCGTTAATCGGTATCCCTCTGATTTTTAGTGTTTAAGCTACTGTTTGTGCGATTGAAGAGTGGAAAATAACGTAGAATATACGAAGCAGAAGTGGAGTTCACGTAGCAAGGTAAGAATCCAACGAGAACTACTTTTATTTTCGAGTGTATGCATGCATGGCGGTTCACGTGATGGGGTTACGTCGAATGTACGAAACTCAATGGTACGAAATAATTGCACTACTACCGGATTCATTGATTTCTCAATCTTTCTTATCGCGTTTGGAATGCGTATACGGTGTGTGTATGTGCAGTCGTATCGTAGAATACGATCATCTATTTAACAACGCTTTGGAATCGTTTAAGAATGTTACATATAGTTTACAAAAATAGCGAATAATCAATAAACACGTGTTGGATGTATTGTGATTACCCAATTACAGTTAATACTGTTATTGAGAACGTTAAAAATTATCGAAGTATGAAAAAAATTCAGTAAAAAATTCGGATTTTTACAGTAAACATATCGCGCGAGTATAAAAAACCGAGCGTCACACGAGCTAATCTCGAATCTTCGAAGAAGACGACAGTACAACATTTTTTTAAAAAGGGTTAGTTAAAGTACGCATGCGTTTAGAGTGTATGCAATTTCGATATGACAATATAACTCGCTTTCTAAACCCTTGGTACCTGACATGTGAATGTATTAATTCTATCTGACTCGATGACACGTCTCTAAACGAAGGTAACCAGTCGTAGAATAGACGAACGTCGAACATTCGTTGCCTTTCAGGGAACCGAATTTTTTTAAACGAGGTAAGGAGCATGCAACAATTCCCGGCAAAGTGGAGGTTAGAACACTTTGCATTTGGACAGCTCAGATTTTTCGTACACTGTCAAAGAACTTGCAATTAGCTTTGGCTATACACTACTGTGTTGCGAGGGGGGATGAAATGCGGTGGGCTCGTGTTGCGTGATCGTTCGTGCTGGAGAAAAGGAGGGAGGGAAACATAACACCCCGAGAAGGCGCGAGTTGCTGTACTAATACGACGTAGAAAGAGCGAGAGTGCGCGTCAGTAGGTTTACCCTGACCTCGGTCAGACAGGCATAGTTTAATTTAACCAGGTCCCTGCAAACTCACGGTTCAATCTATCTTTGCCCAGTGACACGATCAAATCATTGCTACGTGCTTACGTTTAACCTCACTCTTCCGTCGAAAGAAGGCAAGTTACAACATTTATCCGGTATGTAAAATCTGTTTTCACTTCGTAGACCGGTTTATAAATACATATAACGCGACGAGTAACAGCATGAATTTCAGATTGCAATCGATTCGTAAGAATACTTGTGTTCCGGTAAATCGTTCTTCTTCCGCTGCCGGGATCGTCTTTCCGTCATGAATAATACATTTATTCGTTCCGTTAATCAAGCTAATATTCGTGTCAAATTTTGCGCTCGCACGGAAGATACTGTAGGACTAACGAATAGCATAGAATTACTTAAATCAGCTTAATTGATATTATTCATAGTTTGCACGCGTTGATATTGTGACTTTTTTTATATACGAGGTTTCTATTCACGAATTAATCATTTTAGAGCAAATGGAGTAGAAACAACGATATCTTTTGTGTATAATCATTGAATATTTGCTTTTTCACTTTGCTAAAAAGAGGTAAGTAAAAATGTTAATCAGTGACGTCAATTTAACACGATGGTGGTCCGAAGTTTACTTTTCTTCTAGAAACAGCATTACTTATCTTCAGTTTAACTGCCGTTTTTGTTAGAATATACATAAAAAAAATTATCCACTTATAATTCATAAATACAACCAATAAATCCGTGAAAGAAAGTAAGTGCGAACATATGTAAGACAAAAATAATATTTGATAAATCACGTATGTAGTTAAATATTTCAAAACGTATTATTTAGTTATTCAGTATTGTTAGAGGAATAAGAAAATGATCCCAATTCAGACCAATATGCAGTTAGAAACAATAGAATTTACTATCTACAGTCTGCAGGAAGCGTACCGTATTATGATTTGCATACATACGTAATCCATACAAAGAGATTAACTCTAGAATAGAAATACCAATACAAATCTAGTTTTATCGCCTTCTAGGCTTTTAAGAACATAGAATTTGCAAAAAGCGCACATCACAAACGTCGACAAGCGAGGATATAAGATTTCCTTCCTGAATAACATTGTCACACCACGTCACGAATCATTGTCACGTTACCGACTTGACGAACGAACAAAAGCGCGACAGCAGGAAAAAAAGGATCTTCTGGTTGATAAATGAAATCTCGATGAAAGAGGAAAACCGAATACCGGTGTACGAATTCCGTGTGATCGGAGTATTCTCTTGATCTTTAAAACTGGAGGGCGGCATGTATAAAGACCACGATATTTGCAAAAAAGTATGAATGCCACGGCCCCGATGTCTGAATGCAAATGACTCGATCCCCTCACGCAGCGTTCTCCGTCGCTACGTTCGTGGCAATGGGAGGACTCCTGGCTCGGATGAAATTCAGAAAAACGAAAGATCCGTGGCGCCAAAGGCTAGGCGACACCGAGGGATACAAGAAGGAATCGAAAGGGGAAAATACACTTCTGTGTATAACACCTCCGTCCCCTGTTCCGCTCTTTTGGGGATAGTAATGGTCCAGGTCGAAGGCAAACTATGTATGTATGTACATACAGTCCATATATACATGTTCGGAGAGCTAAAGGGGCATCGGAGCGTACAATGCGCGTAGCATTCTGGCGGAAAGCCTTCCTCTGGTCTTCGTCTGGGTACTGTTGGACTACTGGCTAGAGGCGGTAGTAAGCTTTCTTTGTACACACACGCAGTTTCCTTCGTTGGCCAGTATGAAAACTTCCTCGAATGTTATTCGTCGCCGTAACGAAGATGATTGTACTCGGGATTTAATGCGTAGAAATTACTTCCATTAGACGTGCGTGTTTGATCAGCGGACCGTTGATAATGGCTGGAAGCGTAACATATATGCAATCATGAGCGAATATATCTACATATGTAATTTATCCTCCGTAATATACCCTCCTGTAGGAGGCTGATTTATGTCCGTTCGAATCACAGAAGTTCGTATGAAATCTTTTCTCGTTTGATTTAAATTATTATTGATCGTTCAGAATCTGGTGTGTTCTTTCGGTATAAATCGCTAACTTGCTGATGACTGAATGGCACGCCAATTAAATCCCGTATCTCGAGAACGGATGCAGTTAACGACGAATTGTAACGATAATAATAGTCCGGGGAGGAAGGACTTTTTCATGGTCGCTCTTTTTATTGTACGAAAAAAGGAGTGGTATCTGCAAACAGTATGGAAGACTGGTGAAGCACGTTTTTACGGAAACGATTAACGATTCTGGCTCAACGACCTGTGGCGCCGTGCATTGTTGCATGGAATTACCGACCGCCAATTGCAAAGTCCGTTTCCTAACTGACAATTGCTCCATTTGCTTTAAACCATTAGTACTCGGCCAGTTATCTTGTTGGCAATACACTACAATGAACGTTCGCCGTCGTAACTGGCCGAAGTAAATCTCGGCGGCGGCGTTTTTCCCTCCTTTTCTCTGTTCCATTCATTCGCAATTTGTATATATTGCACGTTGACCGCTCAACTAAACCCATTGTTCGCCGGCTCATTTATCCGTTGAATGTACGCTGGCCCCCTTTAATGTTTACAATCTGTCGCTTAATTGAATAAGTAAATATCGTATCAGCGTCAAGAAACGGACGCGAACGACCGTTTCCGTTGCATGAACGTCGAAATGGGTTACCAAACTTTAAGTTATTCGAACTTTATTCAAATTTGTACGTCGAACGCCCTGCGCGGGGACGAGGAAATCTCATATTTGCGAACGTGCAAAAGTTTCTGCTCCGAATCGCAATCTGTTCCGTTCCAGGTTTGGCCGTCGGCGGCGACGCCGCTTTTCGAAAAGATTTGCGGAGGCAAACTCATTAACTTTAATAGAAACTTGGTATCAAACAGAGAACGTGCACGAATCGGTTGATCGGATTACGCGCTCTAGCTAAAACTATGGCACCGGGAACGTTCGCCTAAAGAATTTCCAAGCTGAAGGAAATGCTCTTTGCTTGCAGATATCGCGCGTTCGTCAAGATGTTAAGGCTGCTTTTACTAGTGGCCTTGTTCGGGACGTCGACGATCGCCTATAACAGCGATCTGGTGGACCAAGAATGCCCTGTCGACTGTCATTGTCATTATTTCCGCGTGAACTGGGTGACTGACTGCTCTGAAAGCAATCTGACCAGTATCCCTTACGATGAGCTCAGCCCCAACGTGTACATTCTGGATATGAATGGTAACAACATCGCGGAGGTCGACCCGTTTCCGCATTCGATCAAGCTGAGGCGGTTACAGATGGCACATAATCGATTGACCGAGCTCAAACACGAGTCGTTCGCCGGATTAACTTACCTATTGGACGCGGACCTTTCATGGAACGCGATCACTCACGTCGATCCCGAGGCGTTCAGGTAAGAAGGCTTACGGATTTCTCCTTCGACTCGTTTCGCCATAAATATCCGCACGCTGTACAGGCGCGCATAACTGAACACTTTTGTGCAATTCTGCTCTCTTTAGAACGTCATTTTAATTGACGAACGAAAAATGTGTAGAACTTCCGATATGCTCGTCGAATGAATGAAAATAATCGTTTTAACTATGGAGAACAGAATTGTTTGGTACGAGAGATAAAAAGGTAGAACTGATTTGTAGAATACTTTTAAAACCCTTTTTTTTATGACGTGGTTCCTTTTGTTTTCGTACATTCGCACCTCTCCGATGGCACTTTGATTTCAGTTGATGGAGTCTATATCAAATATAAATAATTTAATTTAATATTTATTTAGACGGATAAATAATTTTCGTAGGAAATTCCAAATTGGGAACATTATTTACTCGGAATAATTGTATATTCGATACTGAATACACTTGATTTTTAATTAAATATACAATATTTGTATTTAACGGAGTATTGAATCTCAAAATGTTTGTTATGGCAATTTTATCGTTCGTTATCTCACATTTATATTTTTGTACCATATTAAAATTAAAAATCTAGGTATTATACTACCACATAAACATGAGAGTGTTCGATTTATCTTGCTGTTCCGCATTCACGTTGTCTTCTATATTTTCAAGGAAATATTGAAATATCACTGATGAATAAATCGCGGAATTTATTTTGAAAATAACAATTCAAAAATATTGAAATGCTAGCTTTAATTTATTAATTAAATAACTGGTATTTATTGAGCATGAAAAGGGAATTACATCCCGCTGTTATTTTAACATATTTTCTGTACGTCTTGTTTCGTTTTAAAAAGCTGACGTTGATAATTGTCTAAATTCTCAAGTTTTCAGAAATTTACATCTTTATAGGTAAATATTTCCTGCGTATATCTAAGTGCACGACACGTGATTTTACAATATCGCCTTGAATCTTTCATGTAATTTGCTTCTAATTAATGGATGCTGTTTTAACAATGCTACACGATAAGTAAGTAGTATCTCACCATACAAATTCAATTCAATGTATGCAGATCGTTAATGTCGTAGAAAGTATATACATATATCACAGAGTAGATAAACATTGATTTTAAGTTTTTCAGCTGATCAATATCTCATTAACTTTTTTTTACAAAAAAAGCTTCCCAGATATAGCTCTACTTTTCAATTCAACGCTGTAGCAAGGTTTCCTTTTTGAATAAAACTGATCTTCCGTCCAACATGCTTCGTTTGCACGTTCCGGCTTTAAGTTATTTGCGTAGCTTCTTATGAAGACGAGGTCAGCAAAAATTAGTCACTTTATGAAAAAAAAAAGAATTTAATTTCACAGTCTCTCGAGCTGCTCGATAAATCAAAGCTACACTAAGAAAAGAACTGTTCATCCATACGGCATGTGCCTTTGCATATCCAATACTATAATCACGAGTTTAATCCTTCAACAGGGACAGTCCAGGTCTTATCACGTTGGACCTTCAGAACAACCCATTGGATGAAGTGAAAGGTTACTTTTTAAATTGTCGCACACTGCTGTATCTCGACCTGAACTCGTGCGGTATTCGCCATCTGAACATGCAATTCTTCCACAATACGACGAACCTGAACAAGCTCGATCTGTCTTACAATCCGCTCGGCGGAATCGAACCCGACCCGTTCGATCACCTCACCAATTTGGAGTACCTGAAATTAAACGGTTGCAACCTGACTCACGTATCTCCAGACGCGTTCGCTCATTTGGAGAACCTCCGAGAACTCGAAATGACCGACAATGATCTAGGCAGCATAAACTGGACGAGCTTGTTGGCGCCCCTGGTTCGATTAGAGTATCTGAACATCAGAAAGTCGCGCATCACCAATTTGCCCGGTGACGCTTTCGCGAGGAACTTGTACCTGAGGCAGTTGGTGCTAGCCGATAACGACCTGGAACATCTGGACGTTGAGAACACGTTGGGGCATAATTTGCACAGTCTTCAGTCTTTAGATCTATCTTATTGTAATTTGCAAGATCGCCTATCGAAAGAGGCCTTTAGGAACTCTAGCAAACTACGTGTGTTGAACTTGAGCGGGAATCCGATGTTTGCCAGCGATTTGACAGTCGTTTTGCGTCATCTGCCGAAACTCCACAAGCTTTCGTTGAGCAATTGTAGCCTGCAGCGTTTGCCTAACGCGTTCCATATCTTCGAGCAACTAGAAGAGCTAGACATCTCTCACAATCCGTTATCAGACGCTTTCGTTAGTTTACTGAATCCGCTTGAATCGTTGGAATACCTCGACATGTCTTACTGCGGCCTGGGTTACGTTGGAAACAACACTTTTGCTCATATGAACACCTTGAAGAAGCTCGTATTGTCCGGAAACAAATTGCACACTCTAGAAGAAGGTTTATTCGCGAATCTGACACGATTGGAGAGTCTAGAATTGAACAACTGTGATTTGAAGGCTCCCATCGATCCGAAGGTATTCGGTGACCGTACGAGCACCGATATCATCGAACTTAAACTAAGCGGCAATCCATTGGAAGTACCCCATGAAGATTCTCTTCTTCCGATTCAATTATCCAATCTCGAGATCCTCGATCTGAGCAACTGTAATTTGGTGCACCTTAACGAGAATCTTTTCACGAGGACCAGGAATCTGACTCAATTGAACCTATCCAGTAACAAGGTTTCCGGCACCGAGAACTTGGCCTGCCTGAAGAAGCTGCGCATGCTGGAACACCTCGATCTGAGTAACAACAATCTGACCACCGTCGCACCGCGTATATTCAAGTCGAACCCGCGCTTGTTATCGGTCAATCTGCTGCACAATCCGTTCGTATGCAACTGCTCGATCGCGGACATGTGGATGTGGGCGGTGCAGGTGAAGAACGACCTGCACGTTTTAGTAGGTAGTCAACCGGCGAGCTTCGAAACCGGGGCGACGAAACTGAGGAAGAGCCTCTCTTGCACCTACGACGAGGAAACATATCGCAAGATCGTGGAACAGGCACGCAACAGCGGGGATCAGCGTCGTCTCAGAAAGGGCGATCTGACTCCGATCCGTACCTGGGCGAAATACGTCCGCGAGTCGACTTGTGGTCGTAGTTCATGATACATAGTGAACAGGTTTCAACATCCGATACTGAACGTCTATTACAACAAGATGCGCGGCAGGCAGATGAACGAGCTGTAAACTGTCGCGTATTTTGTTATATCGACGATGAAGCGTACGCGGACGTACATCAAGTGTGCATGTATGTAAACGTAAACTAAGCGTATACGCAATGTGCTACGCGGAGCCGTTCAGTTATTCATCGGAATTCTATACCAGGTCTACGCGATATGAGAATGTCCCTTTACTTCCATGTGCATACGATTGTATTTTTTTAGGCGTTCCAAAGAGTAGAATTAAGATGCGTTTGTAGTACGCGCGGTGCCAGACGTAAGAATGTTGAAATATTTTTTACGCAAACCCCCTGCATGTTCGGCCGAAATTTGATATTCCATACGAGCGTCATTCTTGCGGAATCACAGCGGGACACGCCCACATGGTGATCGATCATTCTTATGCAGAGAACGGTGATCATCTTCGAGAAACTACCCTTTTCTATTCGAGAATAATATCTATACATATGTATATGTAACGTTGAATGTAACGATTTCGGTTGGCGGATAGTACAGTTCGCGTAACGTCGATTCGAATGATTAATGTAAGGAAGGGTGGTGAAAAAAATGTTCATCGATCGTGGGAACAACGGAAGGTCTTCGGAATTATCAATCAATCCTCTTCAGGTCTCCTCTGACCGCCAACGGTTTTTCACACCAATGCGGGAATTAATGGTCGAGAATCGGTTTAAGTCCCCCCGTTGTTCCGACTATAATGACGTCGTGTTTTTAATTAATCTCGCTCGACGGCTAAATCAACCCTTATCTTTTTTTCTTGCAAGAATCTTCTGAATGGTAAAATTGAATGCGACGGAGGATGAAATAAGCGAGGTATAAAGAAAAATCGAACGCTCGGTTTCCAATCAAGAAAGGTCGGTTTTTAAATCAATGAAGAGAAGAGTTTCGAAAGTTTATCTCTCGAAAGAAATCACATCTTCTTTTTCATAGATTGTCTAAGCACTGAACGTCATAATTAACAATTAAGAACGCACTTCTATTGCATTCTTTTATTTTCACATTATTACACACACGTTACGTAAAAGAATAGGTATGGACGTCGCCAGATATATGATACAGTCACGAAAAGTGTTCGAATTATTGAGTCTCGGTTGAGATTGGAGGGAGACTGAAATAATTACACTACTCTTCTCACAATGTAGCGTTCGATTGATTGTACGTAGATATTCGTAGTTACATTAACAGGATCCCATTTAGTTATTTTAGTAATCTATCATTTATGATTGAAACTGCTATAGCGAGGTTGTGATTTCTTTTAGTCAATTCTGTTGTCTAATGTAATATCGTTTTTACGGTCGAGGACCGATTGATATTTATAAAATTCGTTATTTCTTATTTAAATGTTTATCAAGTGTAATCGTTAAACGTATTTAGATTATTTTGGCCGTAATAGTTACGCGTAGCGTCATGTTTCGCAAGTGTTACTAGTTTTCCGGTTAAGAACGCGCGCCAAGTAATGTTTATCATCTTTTGAAGTTGGACTTCTTTGATGTTCACCCCCTTTCACGTTACTACCACTGAGTGGATGTATACTTATGTTTTCTGTAACTAAACGCTCCATCTCCCTGTTTCAACCAGAAAGTGTTCTCTGGCGGTGTCCATGTATAGAGACCGGGTCACAATACTTTGATCCTCATTCTCGGGCTGTTCACCCTTAAGGTCGGACAGTAACAATTTGATTTTAGTTTACATACCAAAGAATTTGTCAAAGGAAGTGTACGATGTTAGCGCGTGTTTAATACGAGCTCGGATAGAAGTGTGTGCGGATCCATGAAAGAGGGTGTGGGTATGTGAACTGAATTTTCAGTTTCGCTGTCGCTTAAAACGAACACGATATGAGTTTACTATGTTCATGAAATGTATAAGACTGTATTTAATAAAGGAATCGTTTTTCTTGATATTCCCTTTCATTACTTTCCTCCGTTTTAGTACAATCAGTTAAACATAAGTTCTTCTCTTTCATTTATCGTACATAGTATTCTAAATTTGATGTTCTATTTGGAATTCGTAAAGAAATAAGCTTTGATGGAACTTTATATTTTCAAGAATGGATTATGCAGTTAGAAATTCAAGCGAACAGTGATTCATTCCGAGTCAAGTCAAAATTTGGTTCGTTTGGGAAATAGCGGATATACATATTTCCAAGATGGGGGAGAGAGTGACTGCAAGCTCTGTGACTCACGGTTCCGGATCGATTTTGAACGGGCTATCTTAGTGACTAAGTGGTTTTCGTACTCGAAGATAATTTCTTAAAACTAAATGTAAGTAGAGATACCTGAGTGATTAGTCATCCAACATTCATAATAATCAAAAATTGCTTTAATTGCTTTGATCTTATCATAGTCCTACTTCAATCTACAAAGTGAGTTAAGCGACTTTAACTGTATTGCCGGTATAGAAATTCAGGCTAAGCAATCCGTTACGTGATTCTTTAATTTCGCACTGTACACAGTGCGCACGTGAGTCATGTGAGACATGACTTGCGGATTTTCGATCGTATATTATTGCGATTCATCAATAAGAACGTGGCTCTACCTAGTGTACAATTTAGCATTGTAATTCTTGAGGGAATACGTCTATGATTTTGTGGAATCGGACAGTAATTGTAAACGCGTTACAGCTATTTTATGAAAACGGCTGAAACTAGGTCTGTGATGTAAACGTGTTTTGATTATAAGAATCGCTGCACACGACAGCCACGGCAGAGTCAGAGTAAAATATAGATATACAATCAAATACTCTGTTATAATTATCTGCATTTCTTGGTATTTCACCAGGAAGATGTTGAAGCAAGAAATCTCTAATATTCTCTCCAACCTCTTCATCTTCTATATACTCAAACAATCTTTGTACTAAAGGAAATCTATCCTGTTGAAGCCCTACTGTATCAACACTAAAAGGATCTAGATTTAAATTAAAATTTAATCCAACACAGACAGTATTTCTTGATTCAGTATGGATAGGTATAAATGAAAAAACATGCAATCTTTCAGCGTGACTTCTGGCGCGGTTTAATGCGATATTGGACGGTGCCCTTGTAGCAAGATTAACAACAATAGGAATATTTTCTCTTTCTGCTTGGTGACGTACAAGAAATGCAACATGTGAGTTTCTAGGAGATAAGTCAAGATCGATGCCTATTGTGTAGCGATGACTAAAATTTGCTAAGAAACCTAATAAAAACCCGTGACTCTCAAATTTTTGATTGCGGTTTTCAATATTATATTCCAGTTCCTGCCTATAATTATGATAGATGCGAGCTATGTATGGGACAATTTCTTCGTACATTCTATCTCTTACATCTAGTTCTTCGTTACTCGCCAGCATTTCTATAAAACCGTCAATTCTTTGTTGACCTGGTGCAACTTGCACAAAATTGACCAACTCACCAAGTCGTGTGAGCTGATTTCGATTGAGTTGTCTTCTTTCTATTTCCTTAATTGTTAATCTGTGATCTCTTAAGAGCCGTCTAATAAGATTGATTTCAGATGCTGAATATTTGCCAAATTTATCTCTACCTCTAAGATCTTTTTCACGAATCGCCTCGAATACTGTTGCAATTGCCTCTCCCTGACTCTTGCCCTTTCCATGCATGCATACTTTGTATTGCTCAAAATTTAGGTCTTCTGCCCTTAAATTTGGATTTTGCCGTCTAATCTCTCGCACTAGAGCATTTCTCTCCCTTGTACTGAACCTTAACCCATCACTATTAGGACGATCAGAAATACTGTAACATCTGACAACTTGCTGTCCGTCACGATAAACAGCGACTTTTAGGTTCCCTGTATTTCTATTTCTACCACCTGTATCAATACCATGATTATCAAAACGAAAATACACTCTCTCATTTGCTTTTAAGATATTAGCATCATGTGCAGTAGCAAACATACTAAAAAAGAATACAGGAAGAAAACGACCTGCACTTACATGATACAAGAAAGATGGACATTGATCTAAAAAAGATTCAAATCCTTGTCTGAATCCTTCAAGATCTCCATCCACCAAACTCCTAATAAGTCCATCACCATTACTCATACAAAATACCCCTTATTTACTACGACCAGAAACACCAAGAGTTCATAAGTGGATTACTTATTACCACTAAGCGTAAAGATGCTTTTTTTCTTATAAGAAGAAACACCACTTACACTAGGAGTTCCAAGCTCAGACTGCGGACTATCATCAACTGGCAAAGTTGTTTTCTTACTACCATGAGCTTTAGATCGTGATCGCAAATTACTACAAGGACCATCACCTCCAGGTGGTAAAATTGTTTTCTCTAACTCAGAGAATAATTCTTCTGCAAACAGACCGTAATCTACATTTACTCTTTTACCTTCTCTACCACATAATCTAAGACTTTTTATTATCCTTCCCTTAAAGAACTCAAATCTTTCAGGAAAGCTATTTTTAGCAAATAACATCATATCTAGTATTTCTTTTTTCTCTATTTCTTTTTCCTCATCAGACTTATAAATGTCTTCTCGTTTCCAGTTAACTATCAATTCTGCAAGTACACCCTTTATAGGAATTCTATCATTTGAAGTATTAATAATAGCAGCCTTTTTATATTCACTAAAACTACCACACTGCCAAATCTCCATAATGAGAGATCTAGCTTGAACGCTTGATTCAGGATTTTTCAACATTGTATCTGAAAGTGAAGAAAGAAGAATCTCATAGTTTTGCTGTGAGAATATTTTCTCTGAATGATCTCCACGTTCTGAAACTCCTTTATAACACCAATACTGTACCAAATCATGAACCGTATCAAAAAAACATGAACGTATTAACCTACTAAAAAGGAAATATACCCCTCTATCCTTCTGCAATAATTTCTGTAAAAGAGTATCTTTGTCAGCTATATTCCTTACACAAAAATCTAAAATAGGAGCGTCTTTCTCAACAGATTGAGGACGAGACAGAGCAATAATAGCTTCTGTAAGTTTCTTTTCCTTATCTTCTTCTTTTAAATGATTATAAAAATACTCTACTCCTTCGCTCCATTCAAGTTTTACAGCACTGTCAAAACCTTCTGACGCATTACTTGGTTGCTTTAATCCCCCAGATTCTCTATCGATCCAGAAACTTAATACAGGATCTTCCCTTTTCATCCCATACAAAAGTGAATTTAGTATGTATTTATTATCATCTTTTACAGGACGACCATTACCATCAACTGCATTAGATGAAAAACTTCTTTTATAGGAATCAAATTGCTTCTCAAAGAGGGAAGGAATTTTATCTACTACGCAATACCTACAAGCTATATTATATTCTGAAAGTGGATTATCTATTCCACCTATTTTCTCTTCAGTAAACCTTTGACCTAAAGCAGCATTATTTAATCTTATACCTGACCAGCAGTCTCCATCTTGGAACACTTCATGCAAAAACTTCAGCTTATCATCTTTAAAGTATTTTATGTGCCCCATAAAGTTATCTTGAAGGACCCCCACCCATCTCTTGATAGCTGACTTCCTCCCGGCAGCAACTGTTGGATCTGGATGTTTAATAGCTTCCTGTAATTTTTTGGACATCGTAGCCCGAAGCTCTTTCTGTGTTGGCATTAACCCCTCCTATTAAGTATTTATATAAAAAAGGCATTGTACAGACATTAGAATGGATTGCAATATTAAAATTACTAGAATAGAGGGTTTAATAAAAGACGTTATGGCTAAAACTTCTTTTCTTGAATTTTCTCAATATAATCAACAGAGAGGCCAGTATCTTCAGCGATAACATCTGTTCACCTTTTTTTCGCCGATTTTGATGCCTTCTTCTCTACCTTTTTCAGTAGCATCATCAAGTTTTTGAGCGAGCACTCTAAAATTATATAAACTTCTGGATGGCACACCTTTTTCATAAGCCCCACCTAGATCAAGTACAAAACTGCCTGTATCTTTGAGCTTGCTATGTACTAATTTTGCAAATCGACTAAGCCATGCAACATATTCCGCTTGGGATTCATTTCCGTATTCTTTTTTTCTTTGTAAAGCAAACGGTGGACTGGTGATTACGAGATCTAAGCTTGTATCTGGTAATTGCGGCAATAGGTTAAGAGCTTACTATTACCCACAAATATGAACGTTTGTTGCATAGCTCTTAATGGTATAACTTTTGCTTGAAATAACTGTTTATATGGTGCAATTTACAGCTTTTAGTTGCTAAAATTATAACTCTTAATTTAATAATTTTAATCTAACAAGCTTTCAAGTTAATAAAATTAAATTATTTGAGTAAATACAATACCATGTCTTTATTTGTGGTTAATAGTAAGGGTTAAGAGAGTCTTCACAATATGCAGCTCCCCTATCCGTAATATATGTGGGTTTATTATTAAATTTAAATTTTTCCAATATGTGTGCCATATGAAAGATACTTATATTTGGGTATGTTAAAGAAAAAAATGACTGTCATAGATAGTCTTAGAATTGCATTTTAGGCTTTGGGTGGAGGTTATTATGCCACTTTTACAACCACCTCTATAAACGCCCTTTAAACCCCGGCAAATGAATTCATGAGTTTAGTAGCTATAAAAAACTTCAAAAATACCTATTTTAGGTGTGAGAGACTAATCTCCTAATAAAACACAAGCCAAAAGCTCAATTACGATTATCGTGAGCCCACACCTTTACATGATAAAGATCTTGAAACTTAATGTCAATATTTTCAGTAGCAAATTTATGTTAAATCTATATCCTTTTAGCATGGACAAAAAGAAGATACATTGCCAGTAGAAGATAAAGTGTTGGCAACTATCGCTTATCATAGAGCGGATAGAAAATGAGGTTAGAAGAAGTGAATGAGTTGCTAAGGCAAATGGAAGAAAAGCCACATTCTGAACACGGAAGGCCAACTTATATAGAAATGAAACTGAGTGATATTGAAATAATAGCTTCTGTAAGTTTCTTTTCCTTATCTTCTTCTTTTAAATGATTATAAAAATACTCTACTCCTTCGCTCCATTCAAGTTTTACAGCACTGTCAAAACCTTCTGACGCATTACTTGGTTGCTTTAATCCCCCAGATTCTCTATCGATCCAGAAACTTAATACAGGATCTTCCCTTTTCATCCCATACAAAAGTGAATTTAGTATGTATTTATTATCATCTTTTACAGGACGACCATTACCATCAACTGCATTAGATGAAAAACTTCTTTTATAGGAATCAAATTGCTTCTCAAAGAGGGAAGGAATTTTATCTACTACGCAATACCTACAAGCTATATTATATTCTGAAAGTGGATTATCTATTCCACCTATTTTCTCTTCAGTAAACCTTTGACCTAAAGCAGCATTATTTAATCTTATACCTGACCAGCAGTCTCCATCTTGGAACACTTCATGCAAAAACTTCAGCTTATCATCTTTAAAGTATTTTATGTGCCCCATAAAGTTATCTTGAAGGACCCCCACCCATCTCTTGATAGCTGACTTCCTCCCGGCAGCAACTGTTGGATCTGGATGTTTAATAGCTTCCTGTAATTTTTTGGACATCGTAGCCCGAAGCTCTTTCTGTGTTGGCATTAACCCCTCCTATTAAGTATTTATATAAAAAAGGCATTGTACAGACATTAGAATGGATTGCAATATTAAAATTACTAGAATAGAGGGTTTAATAAAAGACGTTATGGCTAAAACTTCTTTTCTTGAATTTTCTCAATATAATCAACAGAGAGGCCAGTATCTTCAGCGATAACATCTGTTCACCTTTTTTTCGCCGATTTTGATGCCTTCTTCTCTACCTTTTTCAGTAGCATCATCAAGTTTTTGAGCGAGCACTCTAAAATTATATAAACTTCTGGATGGCACACCTTTTTCATAAGCCCCACCTAGATCAAGTACAAAACTGCCTGTATCTTTGAGCTTGCTATGTACTAATTTTGCAAATCGACTAAGCCATGCAACATATTCCGCTTGGGATTCATTTCCGTATTCTTTTTTTCTTTGTAAAGCAAACGGTGGACTGGTGATTACGAGATCTAAGCTTGTATCTGGTAATTGCGGCAATAGGTTAAGAGCTTACTATTACCCACAAATATGAACGTTTGTTGCATAGCTCTTAATGGTATAACTTTTGCTTGAAATAACTGTTTATATGGTGCAATTTACAGCTTTTAGTTGCTAAAATTATAACTCTTAATTTAATAATTTTAATCTAACAAGCTTTCAAGTTAATAAAATTAAATTATTTGAGTAAATACAATACCATGTCTTTATTTGTGGTTAATAGTAAGGGTTAAGAGAGTCTTCACAATATGCAGCTCCCCTATCCGTAATATATGTGGGTTTATTATTAAATTTAAATTTTTCCAATATGTGTGCCATATGAAAGATACTTATATTTGGGTATGTTAAAGAAAAAAATGACTGTCATAGATAGTCTTAGAATTGCATTTTAGGCTTTGGGTGGAGGTTATTATGCCACTTTTACAACCACCTCTATAAACGCCCTTTAAACCCCGGCAAATGAATTCATGAGTTTAGTAGCTATAAAAAACTTCAAAAATACCTATTTTAGGTGTGAGAGACTAATCTCCTAATAAAACACAAGCCAAAAGCTCAATTACGATTATCGTGAGCCCACACCTTTACATGATAAAGATCTTGAAACTTAATGTCAATATTTTCAGTAGCAAATTTATGTTAAATCTATATCCTTTTAGCATGGACAAAAAGAAGATACATTGCCAGTAGAAGATAAAGTGTTGGCAACTATCGCTTATCATAGAGCGGATAGAAAATGAGGTTAGAAGAAGTGAATGAGTTGCTAAGGCAAATGGAAGAAAAGCCACATTCTGAACACGGAAGGCCAACTTATATAGAAATGAAACTGAGTGATATTGAAAAATTGTTTGAAAGAAGATAGATTAAACTTGTTGAAGTGATCTTTATTGAGATAGTTCTTCTAGTTATTAAGGAGTCAGTATAGAATGTAAATATTTGTTTTGTAGATAAAGAGTGGCTGCTAATAACCCTAATTTTTTAGACTACAAAGTAGGACAGAAAGTAAGAAGTTGTAGGCTAGCGAAGAGATATACTCAAAAGGATTTAGCAAGTAAAATCGGTACAAAATATCAGGTCATACTACAGTATGAAAAAGGAAAGCGTAAAATTTCAATCAGAAGGTTATATAGCATCGCAGAAGCACTATCAGTTAGCATTATAGATCTTATTCCTGAACACACAATATCAAATGAAAACAGTTATCTCGAGAGTGAGGAGAAAGAGATATTAGATCTAGTAGAAAAGTATGAGAAAATTGAGAATCAAGAATTACGTAATGTAGTTTATTCATTAATTACATCTGCACAGGCTAGCAAGGAAAATAGTAGAAAAGTGGCAAGAATAGAGGTGGCAAAGAATCTAGTTAAAGCAGGAGTTTCTGTTGAAATAATTTTCCAAGCAACGAACTGAAGAATATAGTAATGCAGAGGAAAAAACTACTTCTGTAGACTATAGGATGGGACAAAGGATAAAAAAGCTAAGGATAATGCGAAAGTACACTCAGGAAGACTTGGCAAAAAAAATTAGTACAACGCGTCAAAAAATAAGCGACTATGAACATTGCTGTTCCACTTGAAAAGTTATATGAAATAGCAAAGGCGTTATCAGTCAGCATTAAAGATCTACTTACAAGGCGACATAGTGAAGCAAGCAGTGGTTTAATAGAGAAATACCGAAAATACCGTTCGCGCACGCATGTTGAACGAGTAAGTACAGTCATCTACATTATTGTATGCGAATAAAGGAACATGTTTTTCTGACAATCCACGTGACTCGAGCTCGAGCTCCGTGGTGAGCATTTACGATACACTATAGCCAATGTATGGTTAACATCATTGGCTGACCGTCTAGTAAGCTATTTAACTGATCGGCCAATTATTCGAACGTCATACGCGTGGTCGCACGAGGCCGCTTGAATCTTCAATGCATCGCAAACGGCTGTTCGCTACTCGCACTCGACGAGGACGCACTATTACATCAACCGTCGAACCGTCCCGTCCCGACCCCAACACTCCCGACGACGACGACGACGACGACGACGATCACCGACATTCGCGTTGTGCTAAGTGCCGCCACCCCGTTCAGTTACATCGACATAGTGCAGCAATGTTGAATTTGTTCGTTCCACTCCTCGGCATCCCGACAGCCTACTATGGGACGCTACTGGGCGTCGGATTCTGCTTCTATTATCTTTTCGAAGTTGTTAAGGTGAGTAAACCGACGCGATCTTCCTTCCTCTCTCTTTCTCTCTAATAATTTCGCCACTGTTATTAAAAAGCAATATTTGAACGAGATGTCATTATCGTTATTTATATCTAAAGCAGTGCGAAAATAAAAAATGATTAGGTGCACACATAGTCAAAGAATTTGATGATCGAATTTAAGTGCTGATTTCGTTTCAACGCTCCCTTATTTTATGTGATGATTCTATTAAAAATTTATTAGAAAGTAGTATAAGTTATAGATTTAATTTTATAAATAATGGGACACTTTTGTTCCTAGAATGAAAATCATATTTTTAAACAGCTCTCTCGGAACGAAGGAATTTATGTGTAAGCAATGAATTTGAAATTCACATACTTCGTACTAAAATTCAATCGAATTTTTATTCAAATCGGCCTCAACTTTAAATATTAATTCGTACGTAGGGGCATGCATTTAAAACAGCAATTTATCATTTATATACCTGTAGACCTTTAATCTTCGTTAAATTCAGTCGTATTGAACATAGTTCACAGTCACGTGTGCAACTCAGCGACTGCTCTCGTAGCACTGAAGGAACTGTTTACATATGTAAAAAAGTAATAAATTATGCATATGTAATTTAAAGTGCTAAACTTCGCTCATTGTTAATCTTTATGTTCATCTAATGAGTATCATCGTTATAATTAAGTATCTTTTGATTTTATCTGTGTAACTATTACTTGAAAGAAACTTTAGGGAAAGATATCTTTAATCAATGTTATCTTTCTTCAAAATAAGTATAGTACTGAAATATTTTCTTATATGAAATTGGAATTATATTAACTTAATAATTTATCAGTATTAAGATTTGTCACATTTCTATTAGAAAAAACAAGACGCTTAAGATATATAAAAGTTGTACAATCATTCTTCTAACAAATGTGTAACATGACAAACACATGATTTATCGGATTCGGTCTCAAAGGTCGAGAAACTGGTTTTCTTATCGGTGATAATTTTTCGCGCGATACGTTATCAGGATTTCAGCGATACGAATAGTTCGAACTCTCACACGACCCTTTATAGCACGATCCACAGGAGATGCGCGATTTATTAATTTGACCTTAAAACTCCGAGCCATTTGTCCCAGGCAAATTGCGAACGCGTTGATTCGCGCAACCAGCGTACGCATGCACCGGAACAGGTGACATCGCACTCACTGTTCCAACAACCGTTCCGACCAAAAATTATGAAACGATACTTGTTAATCCCGTAGAATTATATTAATTATAAGTATGTAAGATTCCGTCTTACATAGTAGATAGTATGGTAAATAATTGGGAGATTTAAAAAAGAAACTGATGCGGCCGAGCAGTTGCATACTTCTAAACATAATTGTTTTTTAAATGCGATATTAATCGCGTAGTGCACGCAAATGTTTTTTCCATTATCATATATGATAAGCGGGATGAAACAGAACGATTTAGAAGCCCACAGGCCCAGCGCACTACGATTTTGAAAATGTGCGACGAATGTGCGTAATTTTTTTCAAGACTAAAATTGTGATAAGTAATAAGAAGACTATTATTCATTAAAAGTAATTTTCAGTTTCGTTTATCTACCACCTTTATTACTGTAAATTAATGTTAATTTAGTAAATGACAAATGTATGTATCTTTTAGAGGCCAATGCTGGTGTGCGCAAATGGGCCATTTCGATCGTTTTTAACGGAACGCGTACCACTGGTCAGAAACAAATTTTGGCCAACATTATGGTGTTTCGAATCCAGAGCACAGACTATTATAGCCAGTCTTCTGAGGTCAAAAATGATGCCACGTATTCACTATCGCAGGTTGGTAAGTTCATTTTTATTGGACCTTAACAAGAACCTTACTTACGTGACTTATATCTTTAAAAAAACGAATTTTCTTTTCAAATCCTTCTGAACTGATAGCACTAGCTTTTAGCTTAATAGGTAAGATCGATAACATATGAGTTTTGTTAATCTCAATGAGAATCGCTAATTGCAAGCATTACGTTTTTTTAACCATTATATTCCGTTATCTTTTTACTTAAGTTACGAAACATTTTGCAGAGTAGTATAAGCAAAAATTAATGAGCACTCGATGCTGCGAGTGTACGATTACAAGTTAATTACCATACTCCCCGTTTACTCGCGATCTAATTAATCAATCGTCGCGCAGAGAGATCCTGGCCTTGTCGGACGGGGGTGAAGTGGCTCTGGATTGGGCGGAAGAGGGATGTTCCGCTACTTCGCCGATCGTAATTATTTTGCCAGGACTCACTGGCGCTAGTCAAGCGGAATACATCAAGTGCCTTGTTTCGTCCGCGAAAAAAGCTGGGATACGATGCGTAATCTTCAACAACAGGGGACTCGGGGGCATAGGACTCAAGGTACAATGGGAATGATGATTCGTAACTTCTTTCTTCGCGATCTTCAAATCCCTTCTGTCAAAACACGTGAATTTCTTAAAATTTATTATCATTCGTGTATAGATGAATGTATATTTAAAACACAGTTGCAGATATCTTCAAATGTTTTTCGAATATCATTCATGCATTCGGAGCCTGTACATTTTATTTAAATAATTTATGAATGGAGACAGTTGTAATCTAATCTGGTTATTCTTATCACTTGCAGCTGCTAATTTTTTTAGTCCTCATTGCACTCAGTTTATCTATTTTAGTGCTCAGTGACTCTTTCCTTTTAGAGGTCTCACAATATTTATAATTCAAGTTTAATCTAAAGTACTACTATTTATACCTATTATGTGAAGTATCAAACAATAAACTGTTTTATATTTATCGCACAATGTTTTTTACTAAGACAAATGGAAATTTAATCGATTGTACGATTCTAGACTCCACGAACGTACAACGCTGCGAATAGCGACGATCTATCGGAAGTCATCGACCATGTACGAAAACTTCATCACAACATACATCTGGGGGCGACAGGAATTTCGATGGGAGGGTAATTAACATGCTCTCTCGTAAAAACCTAGCCATATTTATATATGTATATTTCTTTTATATATTTTGTGCATGGTTTTTCGCAGATTAATTTTAGGTAACTACTTAGCTCAGCAAGGAATGAAAGCAAAAGAAAAACTGAAAGGATGCTTTCTGATCTCCGTTCCGTGGAACGTGTTTGCTGCAACGAAGAACACGGAAGAGAACTATTTCAATTTGATGATAAACAAATACTTGGCGTTCACACTTCGTAAAAATGTACAACGTATGCACAACTCTGCGGAATTCGGAATGTTCGACGTTGATATCGAACCTATCCTCAAAGTAAATACTTACTGCCTTTCTTTAAAAACTTTTAATCTTTATTAAATCGTATGACGAGAAGGGAAAAAATAATTACAACGGTGCTGTCATTTTGTTTGATTCAGAGTCGAACCGTGCGGGAATTTGATTCACACTTTACGGTCAAACAGTTCGGTTATAAAGACGTGGAAGAATATTATTCGAATGCAACTATACATGACAAATTACACTTGATTGACGTGCCATTATTGTGTCTCAGCGCTGCAGACGATCCATTTCAACCAGTTCAAGGTAACTTATTATTAGCTTGATCGAGCAAAACGTCGTTTTACACGACTCTAATTTTATTTCTTTGCTTCAATTGTGGGGTAATGACGATTCTTAAATATCTTTAGCTATACCATTGAAGGAAATAGCGGAAACTAAAAACGTGGCCGTGGTGGTAACTTCGCGAGGTGGTCATATCGGTTTCTTGGAGGGTGTGTGGCCAGTGAAAAAAGAACAGTACATGGGTAAACTGTTTTCCCAATTTTTCACCGCACTTTTCACTAACGACGCAAATTACCAATCATTATGACGAACTTTCGTACATGAAAGTACATTCACGAATGTCGATATCAAACGTCCCACTTACTTTTAACTATTGCGTAAATATGACGAAGTGCCATGAATGATCACATTCAGGGTATTACACATGTGATGTTAATAGTATTAAGGGTAATTAATGAATTTTCTACAGTTTATAGTAACGAGACAAGGAATTCCGATCGATTAATTATTTTGTACTCGCACGTATATAAATTGTTTACGGACTAAAATGCACTGACATTTGTACATTTTTGTCAATAGCAAGGTTATATTTATTTATAAATATGATAAGTATTTAGTTACAAAATTTGAATGCAATTCGATGCGTTGGTGTTATAATAGGTATATTTTTTTCAATGCAATAATTGTGATAAGGCAAAGTTCCTTGAAAGTCAACAGTATCGGAATGGTGCGACAATTCGTAATCATTGCTTTAATACTACGTTTAAAATAATTTTTAAAATTTGTTCCGTAATTATAGATTTAAAGAACGGAACTCGCCTATGATATTATTGTGATAGAGGAACCCAGAGGTGCACTTTGTTACTTCTATACACACACACACACACATATATATATATATATATATATATATATTCTGTATATATATAATTTTTCTGAAAAGAAAGGTCTACATAAAAATTTTAAAAAGAAAAGAATCAGCAAGGATATTTGATAGCATTATCTTTTTCTAAAATTGTAAAGTATATTAAATGAAGTTACGGTAATATGCACTAACAATAAAATGTATTCTTGTTATTTAATATTTAATAAAAACTTCACATATTAATCGTATAATTATTAGTATCAATACTGCCTCTCGATTCTGAAATGTGTTCTAGATATGGTAATGTAAATTGGGAAATGCTCTCTTTTAACACGTACGATTTATAATATCAATAAATGTATTCTTTTATTGAACACAATAGAAATTTGTGTTATAACTTGCCAAAAAGCGTTCTAGATTATTTCGTACCGCTTTGCAATACATACGATAAAACAGTGTCGGAACACTTTTCATTACACAGCATATTCTTTTGTAAATTTATCGAAACAATTCTGTCCATCGTTATTGATAGAAATCAAGCAGCTTCTTCATTTTTATGTTATTGACTCTAGGATTTTGTACCATAGTAATCGCGTGATACACGCTCAATAGGAGAATAATACTGGAATCGGAGAAAAAATGCGAAAGACCGAGGACAGAATTGTCTCAAAGCGCTTACATATACGTAGTATAAAATATAAAAATGTTAATAGCTTTTCTGTATATGTTATAATTTGAATTCTAAGCCCAAAGATTTGACAATAAATACTAGAATATCAGTACTTTCTTCGATCTGAAAGAGAAAATATTTTACGTATTGAATTACGAGGTAATTTACTCGAGGATAAATGGTAAACTTCAATAACCGAATAATTGAATACTAACCACTTTCATAGTTGGTTTTCCGCCGCCATGGCCAGCTTTAGTCTCAATCTTAATTAATAGAGGATTCGTTTGTTGCGGCAAGTTTCCTAGAGTGTTTTGCAAGGTAGCAATGAGCTTTAAACTGTGCAATGGTACTACTCGATCATCATGATCAGCAGTGAGTAACAATGTCGCGGGATATTGTCCACTTTCCGGTACTTTAACATTATGCAACGGCGAATATTTTAACAAATTCTCAAAATGTTTCGGATCGTCCGAACTACCATAATCAGATACCCAGGCAACGCCGATAGTAAACTTATGGAAACGCAACATATCCATCACACTATTAAAAAAACATGATGTATGTAAACTAAAAACTAATCTAATCTTGAAACAATCATAAGAGCTTACCCAACTTGAGCAATTGCAGCACCAAAAAGATCTGGTCTTTGATTGACGCACGCGGCAATTAACAGACCACCGTTGCTAGCACCTAAAATACTAAGTTTCGAAGACGTAGTGTATTTATTCTCGATCAAATATTCGGCAGCGCATTGAAAATCATCGAATACATTTTGTTTGTTAAAGAAGCGTCCGCCGTTATGCCATTTCTCTCCGTATTCGCTGAAATTGAATTGCAAACACGTTTCACATCAGAGGTATGTTCATCGTATCTATCTACGATGCCCCTTGACTTACCCACCGCCGCGTATATTAGCCACTGCTAGTACGCCGTTTAAATGCTGAACAAAAACCAGCTTTGTAACGCCAAATGTCGGTTGAATGCTCACATTAAAGCCTCCGTAACCGTACAATAAGACCGGCATAGAACCATCCAAAACTGCGTCCTGAGTCAAAGACATATTCCAGTACACTGTTCAATGTGAATGTAACAAATTATATCACATATACCTACATGTCTCATTACTATGAACATCGGAATCTTCGTACCATCTTTACTCGTATAAAATATTTGATCAGTTTTGTACAAACAGGCATCAAAATTTTTTACTTTGATTTCCCGCAATACCTACAAATTTTATACACATGTACAATTTGTTTGATCAACGTCACGTTCGCCGTACGAGGAATAATACTGACTTGCGGTTCTTCTTCATTTTTCAAATCAACTCTGTATATAATACCAGGGATCAAAAATGATTTAAACTGATAAAATATTTCAGAGTATTTCTTCTGTCCCGCAAAATTGACTATCGTACCAACGTCAAGCGGAAGTGATCTGAGTTTTTCACCATTTATTAAACTATGTACTTGTAAGACACTCTGAAAAAGATTATTAATATTACTGGAATCCATCTCTATCTGTTTTCCTTTACCGAATATTAATTTTCTCATTGTTCGTCGATGTTTACCTTAACATGTTCAATATAGCAAGCTACAAATTTATTACCATCAACTGCACATGCCCAATCTAATACATTATCAGGATGTTCTGGTAAAAGATCAACCCACTTTTCCTGCTTATAGTCCAATAAATCTATAGCTATTAACTTGTAATTTGGTGCGCCTTTGTTCGTTCGAAATATGGCCTTGGTGCCATCGTTTGTTACATACTAATTAAAAAGATTTACACAAAACGATAAGTAACAGAGGAAAAGATGGAATACAAGAAAAATAAACGTTTATACTTTGTGCCACTAACTTCATAGTCAGCTTCAAGTTTATCGACTACTTGAGTTAATTGTAATTTCTCATTCAGTTGCATCCCCGGCTTTAATTCCGTAAAGTAAACTAAATTGTCTCTACAGTCTTTCACAGGTGTGATTATTAGCCATTTCCCGCAATCCGAAACTTGTGCACCTCTAATAATATAAAAACGTAATCGACAAGTGTATCGAATATGTTACATTCAGTAAAATGTGTTCTCATAAATTATTGAACATACGAAATGCAGATGTCTACGACCAAGCAACGTTGTTAAAACATTATGCCACTCACATTCTCCATAAAGGCTCTTCAAGAAATTCGACAACAATCACGTCTTTCGACTGAGGCGTACCCACAACGTGATAGCAGAGCTTCTGGTTTATATTACTTTCTGTCTCGGAACCATCAGTTTTACCTTTTTGTTCCGGATAGCAGCCGTAAAATATTCCGCGGTTATCATGAGTCCAAGTTATTGGAGAGTACTTCACTTTTTCCAAAATTTCTGGATACTTTTCACCTATTCGTTACATTATTCAAATAATGAAGTAGTCAATGATTAATCATTAAAAAGAGTATAAACTATACCTGTTTTAGTGTTCATGAAATGGATTGTACACCAGTCGGATCCACTACTAGACAATCCATATGCAAATATACTACCATCCTCGCTAAATTCACTGCTACTGATAGCAACAGTACCATCTTCTGATAAAGTATTTGGGTCCAAAAATACTCTTGGTTCACCATCCAGAGTGTCTTGCACATACAGGACACTAAAAAGATTCCTCATATGGAATGGCATTCAAACTAAATTAACATTTATTCTTCTTACCTTTGATTTTGCAAACCAGTGTTCTTATAGAAATAATATTTGTCTCCATATCTGGCTGGGCACGAGTATTTAGGAAAATCCCACAGTTGCTTGAGCCTTTCATAAATATCCTGACGGGCCTTGCACGATTCCAAATAGGGCTTAGTAATTGCATTTTGAGCATCGACAAATGCTTTAGTTTCCTCAGAATCAGGATCTTCTAACCATCGATAAGGATCTTTCACCTATTAGAAGGAAAGAATAAAATTCCATACTATAAATCCTACTTATGTCTACTTAAGAAATAAAAATAAAATTAAAAAATTAATGCTTGTTCATGAAAGCTTAACGAAATTAATTTGTTCATCTTTTAAACACTAATATAATTTATTATCGCATTGATATGTGAATTTAGGATAAAAGAACAGTATACTTTATCTTGTCCTAACCTCGACACCGTGATAATTATCGACAATGGTATCATCTCGACGTGTATTGGGATATTGCAATTTTTCCATGATTTTTTTATTTTCTGCGTGCTCTTGTACTGACGGATCTAACACCTGAATTTTTCACAAACCGGTCTAGTTAGGTTCAAAACAGTTTTATCAATAAACAATCGTATTAATGAAAAAACCTCACTTTCATAGTCGAAATAGATAATCCACGAATAAATCGCGTGCTCGTCGAAGCCGCGAAATTCAGCAAACTTATAGAATTGCTACCTCGAAATTTACGGGAGCAAACTTTTATCACCGTATTTGCAATTAATGACGTAGAACTAACATACATTATTCGTATAATGCAGATAAGATTGTGATAACTTTCTTTGCAATATTTGATCGTTATATAAAAGTATTATTTCCTTGGTAGCTGCACATTCTAGGAAATACACAAGTATGATAAGTAAAATTTTATTTATTGTATCTGCAAAATGGCAAATGTGCAAGAAAGATATCTCAACAGTATAAAATATAAATGTGTATATTTTCTCTTATACTATATATATAGAAGTACTAGAAGTACTTAACAATAAATAAAAAGAAATGTTTGTAATTTCTAGTTTATATCTACGATTGTATACTATATACATTAAAATGTTGTTATTGTAAAATATATTTAAGTAAGAACTCGTTTATGCAGACAAAATTACGGAAAACATTCGTGGGGCATGTGCCTTCTCAAAAAAAGTTTTTAATCACTACTTGCCACTTCGAAATCACAAAAATATATGTATATATATAAAACTGATGTGTTTTTTGTGCGTAATGGGTCTTCAGATAAAATAGTCAATCAATTTTTCCTTAAAATAACAGCCTAATTAAAGCAGTTTTGCAGCGATGTTAAATAATAAACCAATAAGCTGATACAAAACATGATTCTGAGGAAATGATACACATCACAAGTAGAGGTATATGTATGTATCTATTTCGATCAGTAGCGAGAAAGCGAAACATTCAATGCGTTATTAATATACGCAACAAAAATTGTCATCTTATCAATATAATAATCATAAATTAAATAGTAAAGCTGACATATGACACGGAAGAGTGCGGGATACTATTCTTTCTTATCAATTGGCCTTATTACCCCCCCTTTAGTATGAGATGTTAACTGACACGTAAACGTGACTTTTTGTAAGATTCAACTGGTCATCGATAGCGTGGAAATGCAGTATCGTATCAAACGTAAAACATACAACAATTTATAATTTGAGCAAAATGTACTTTATTCATAGTCTATTTATATTCGTTTCATTCATGATTCTTCGAGAAAGAAGAATGGAATTTGGTCTAACTTGCAGACAAACGAACTTCGTAAAGAGAACGCATACCTCCCTAAACTTCTGTTAAACCAAAATCCAATGACGAAATGGTTACGGTTACGGTTTGAAAAAGAATGAAGAGAGAGAGAAGCGAGAATGAAAGGGCACTGTCTGCACTATTTACGAGACTGAAAAAGACTGTGGGAGGATATACTGCTGATCACGAAGAGTAGGCATAGAGAATTGCGTCGCGACGATACTTATCACGCGCGGGTCAACTGTACTTTGTGCTGCGAACTTAGATAACCTTTTGCGTGTGTTCCAGACCCCCCTCTGTTTTCCCAACCACACGGAGATCATATAATATCAAAATCCACCGCCAAAATTATTCATTTCGAATCGTGTCTGCGACTACATCCGTGCTTCATTCGATCAAGTGCATAAGCTGTGAACTGCGCTCTCACTCAAGTGTTCTAACCTTACAACAAACCGTCGACCGTCTCTCTGCACCTAACGTGATCTAACCGGACTGTAATCCGTCAACACGAAGAGGTCAAATTCAACGAAACGCGTACTTGTACGTCGAGGATAATTTGAATATTTCTTTCCAATCTGTCAGCACACGGAGGAATGCAAAAGGACTGCCGAGATTGTTTAGGTATCCGATACCGTATTAATTCCCTGGATCAAACGTGGAAGTGGCTGCATCAAACAATCGCCCTGCACGACTATCTTATCTCGATTACCGCCAGTCAATCCAACTTTTTGAGACATACCTGTCAGTAGGGTCGCTATCTACTGATCAAAATATTAACCATTACCAAGGCTGATTTTGCTAAATTACGCAAGTGTTTAAAAACTGTTCAGTTCAGTAGTCAAAGACTGATTTTCAAGACAGAATCTTTCTCAAAAGAGTACGGTTTTCATATTGATACCAACACGCGATTCATCGTCGCATAATAGCGTGCATGCGCGAATAAACGACAGACAGAGAGAGAGACAGAAAGAGAAAAGAAACTCGATTTACACGTGTGAACGCTGTTCAAAATGTCTCTGATAAATAGATTCACGATTATCGTCAGACGCAGAACTCCGTTCGAAAATTTACGTCACGTGTCTAAATACTCGACGAGTTCCAATGAAAATAAAAAAGATCTTAACGGTACGATTACGAAGTCAGTATTCATATCGCAATCCACAGATGTGTTCACCAATTTAGCCCTAGAGGATTGGTTTTATAGAAATTACAATTTCACCAATCATCATGTATTACTTTTCTGGCGTAATGACCCGTGTATCGTGATCGGACGTCATCAGAACCCTTGGATCGAGCACAACACTCAATTGGCCGAGAAACGGGGTATAGTGCTGGCCCGTCGGAACAGCGGCGGTGGTACCGTTTACCACGATAATGGTAATTTGAATCTGACCTTCTTCACACCGCGGGAACGATACAACAGAAAATACAATCTGGACATCATTACCAGAGCTCTGTATCGGGAATGGGGCTTGCAAGCGGACATCAATAAACGCGAGGACATCGTTGTTGAAGGGAAATACAAAGTATCCTTTCATGTAATGTATCAAAAATACTTATTACATATGTATGTACGTTTACACAGGCCGTTCCAAATTGATATATGACATGATTATGTAGGTCAGTGACAGAGAGATGATGTTTGCTTAAATCATATTTTTGAAATTGACTCATAAAATCGACTGGTAATCATAGATTTCGTTTTGCTGTTTAATACGAATCATCATCTATGTATCGTATGCATGTTACATATTTATATGTTTTTAACTACGCATTTCAGACTACTTATAAAGCATCTAGCAATTTTGCAAAAGTGAGTTGTTTGTATTGATAAATAACAATTTCATATATTTTGTATATTTACGTAAAGATAAATTGGAACAACCTACTTGCTTGAAGTAAAGCTTCGAAGAAGCATGACCAATATTTCCTTAATTATCTCAAAACGCAGATATCTGGTACCGCAGCAAAATTAGGACGACCGAACGCATACCATCACTGCACGCTATTGGTCAATGTAAACAAAACAGCTTTAGGTTTAGCTCTGGAGAGGACCGAGGTAATTTTTCTTCAATTATTATCACATTTTTAAAAATCTACAATGATCAGTTTGATAGTGATGCTTGCAGATTCTCCGAGATAAACATCGTCCGTAATAAGTATTCAGGAACGTCTGTTTGAACTTTGATTTTACGTACGATGTTTGTCAGAAGATTTCTTTTTTATGTATCATTTACTAATAATAAAAATACGTTTGTTACATTGCAGAATGACGTAGAAACAAATGCTACAGCATCCACACGTTCTCCGATAAAAAATCTAATTGACGTAAATTCTCATATTCAAATGGAGAAACTCATTACCGCGATCGGCTGGGAATATCTCCGTACGAAAGCTCTTGTTGTAGAAGACGGTGGCCAGGAGCTTATCCAACGTCAGAAAGGATTTCAATATATTAATCCAACCGAGGACTGGTTCCCAGGTAATCACGCGTCAAGAGTGATTAATAACCGTAAGTTCCCACTGAGATTCCAGTTTGATAATCGTTCAACTATTTCATTTCAGGACTGGATAAATTAATAAGCGAATTTCGTTCGTGGGAATGGAACTACGCAAAGACACCGAAATTCAGTGTGACGCGCGTTTTAGACCTGCCCGTGCAGGACAACAAGGTTCATCGATTTAATTTGACGCTAGAGATTCAAAACGGTATCATCGAGGAGGTAAAGATGAGAATGCCAGCAGATTTGATATCAAACGAAATTAACCAAGACGCGAGCGTAATAACGAATCTACGTGGCACGAAATACGATCACGACGTAATGGAAAGTATAATATCCACGATAGGTTGTAAGACGGTTACGCTAAGTACGAACGAAAATAAAAGTAATATGGTTGCTACGCAATGATTAAAACCATCACACAATCATAATGATCATACTTAAATTATTTGTTGTGTTTAGAAAATCGAATTATTGTATAATAGACCGGGAATCTATTACAGGCTCGTATCGCATATATGGTTTTGCATAAAGACTTTTTATTATTCACTGCTGTTATATGCATGTAGTATATTGTAATATAAATGTACAAAAAGGAAGATTATACATCGTACGATTGTATATCACAATTTTATATTTTTACATTATGGATGTGTATATGTGTTATTTTAATAAACCGTTGTTATTAATAAATGCTGGATAAAGCATATCCATTAAAGATTGTTTATCGTCGAATTTACTTACTAAATTTATTTTTGTGCAATTCGTATTCTCTGTACATAATCCGTTCATTTTTGTCATTTGTCATTTATCATTTCTTGGTCGATGACCCGATTAATAATGTACGATGCATAATAACAATCGCACGTGTACATCACTATTAAATAAGGCATTGCATAAGAAGCACGTACAATAAAAAAAATTGAAACTTCATCACAGAATAAATTATACAGCGGGCTCGGGCGCAGGGTCTTCCAGCTCCCACGTTGTGATAATGAGTTTAACCAAGTTTAACTTCTACAGTCACGTATGAACTCTCTCTATGAACGTCCGGTACCATTGTTATTTAAATTCGGAGATATCGATGGATGACGATAAAGACCCGGTTGTAGCATAACTTCCGAATATCTTGGCGGTGGACTATGTAAATCACATTCAATCACATTTCTGTCGGTGCCATTGTCCATGTAATTTTGATAGTACCAATCGAGCAAGGAAACGTCGTCGGGTTGTTGCCGACGCCTGCATCTCCAGTTGATCGAGCACTTTCCGGATAACCAGACATAACAAATAAACATTCCACTCCCAATACCAAGCATATAACCGGCAAGCAAAATCTGATACGGTAAATATATGTTCGATGAGTTAATTATGGTTTGATTGGGCGTTTGCTCACACATCGAGAGATTCTTGTTATTCAACGTGTCGGACTTGTCGTGTTTCGTTAACGATTTATTTTTTTCAACAGAGACACCATTTTCAACATTTGTCCGATGATGATAGTAGTTATGCGTTTTTAATACGGGTAGCAGAATTATCTTTTCAAATTTCTGTATACGATTTTTCTTGCCACAAACTTCGTCAAAATCGACATTTCTGTGTTTTAATTGTAATTGTAAATTTTTCATCATTTCATTGCAGGACCATGGATTTCTGAAAAAAGATATTGTTCCTTTACTTTCGATCGTTCATGACTTATCTAGAGTCAGATATGCTACAATGTTGTTTAGTACTAATTAAATTAGAGCCTCAAAACTTTAAAGTGAGAATTAAAATAAAGAATTAATTATATTAATGAAACCGTATCGTCTAGCATTTGTAATCTCTGCTCTCATTTGACGTACCCTTCTAATGATAATTTTTTCAAAAAGTGCAATGTGTGCACGACGTCGTAGCTCATCTGAATCATCAAATTGTTTGAGAGATCGAGGGAACGAATATGCGTGAGTCCATTGAACGTGTCTGAAGGTAAATGGTTAATCTGACACGAATCCAGACTTAGCTCCTGTTACAAATTAATAAAAGTCGAATATACATTTCTCGAATAAAAATTGTCACGTAATATAATGGATACACGCATCTATTATTACCATTAACGAGGGAACTCGTAACTTTGGTACGTATGATTTGAAATTATTTCTCGATAGTTTTAATATCCGAAGGTTTTTATTTTCTTCGAAGAGATCGTCTGAAATAGATTCAAGCCTGTTTTTGGAGAGATCCAACACCTTTAAGTCTCTAAGGCCAACAAAGGCACTTAGATTGATTTCACTAATTGCGTTCGTGGAGAGATTAAGGTACTTCAAATTGGTCAGCCCTAAATCCTAAAATGATATGGAATTTCATCATGAAAATGAAAACACATTGTTTATAATCAATTACAATTATTTCGACACACATTTATTACATGTATTCTAACGATGAATAATTTGATAAAATCTGAAACATACCCTCAGCTCGAAATTATGTAAACTCGATATTATATTATCCGACAAGTCGAGAGCTTGCACACTGCTCGGTGCATCTGTATATATGTTGTAAAGATGGCGACCATTGCAAGAAGCGCGCATCAAATCATACCAAGTGTCACACACGCAGAACGACGTACATTCCGACAATTCTTCCAAAGAAATTGTAATTCCAACGAGTTGGGATACAAGGAACACGATTAAACAAACTACAGAATCACGAGTCATGATAAAATGAGACTCGGCTGTTTAGATAGTCAATGAAAGTGCTAAACTAAAATAGTTAACAATTTATGAACGGAACCAAAATTCACTTCTGTCTCACAATCGCTTTGCTATCTTATCTTGTAACGCGACGGGAGGGGCATTGTGTGAATGTGTTAGTGATTGGGATTCGTCATCGTAGGTCGTAGGATCTTGATAAGCCTCCTTACATATTGCCTACTGTTTTCCAATACAAAGCAAAGATAAACAATGAATCTTTCCACGAAGTGTCATCTGACTGAAGACAAAGCTAGCGAAAATATGACTGCCGGACCGGATTTGACCGGGGCTTATGACTTGTTTTGAAACTCGTAGGCGCTTTCGTTTTTGAAGGGTCTCAGGTAAACGAGAATTGCACCCTTCAGAGGGTCGAGGAAAGTACAGATAGGAATTAGGCGTCATTTGCCTGGTCTTTTACATCAATTGCTCTGAACCTAAAGCGTCCAACGCGCTACGCGGACAGGAATAAATGGTGCGTCATAATCATAAACCGAGGGTAATTCTTTGGAAAACAACTTCGCCACAGGCCAAAACCGATGACCGCGATTTATTATATATAAGAACTGATATCAATAGAGGATAGGAACGAAATTTATTTTTAGAATGGAAGTTGTTTTTCGGACACGGCCGGTCTTTCGCTTTAATTTCGGGTGAGAAGTAATTTACATGGTGTTAAATAGTATCTACTATTTAAGGGATGAAATAAGTTTAACGAATCTTATGAATTAATTGATTACTTCGATACTTTATTTGAAAATTCGATTAAGATAAATTGTCAATGTTTTACGATCGATGCAGTGAAAGTACGCTCTGCTTTTATCAATTGATTTTCAATGAATCATTTTCGGACACCGATAAACGTCTTCCGTAGAAATTCCGGACGCACATTGCATTTAACATTCTCCACGTGAAAGAAAGTTAAAGTTCTCTGTCGAAACGTGTTTAGCGTTAAAGAGCTACGGTAATAAACACCGAGATGACTAATCGCAAGCCTTCGTTACATTAAGAGCGAGAGGTAAAGTATTCAATGTATCTACCATGCGTATAATACAACGATGAGCACAATCACGCTCCTTTACGAGCGGAATGGCAGCCGGTGACAATTAAATGTTACTCACTAGCCCTTGGCACCTCTTTCGAAGCCAAACGAGGGGTAGCATTCAGTGAGCTACCAGAGCAGCGTATATTGCGCAACGTCCACGGAAATAAATCTAGGATAGGCTGCTGAGAACGCGTGGACCGCTGCCTTCTATTCGGCCTTACACGATCCCTCTCCACTGCCCCTTGCATCTTCCGGCCATTTTTATTGTTCGTCCTCCACGCCACCATGACAAGCATACGGTATGCCACTGCGAACGCCTCACCTTCGCCGACCATGTACTATGCCGCATTTGATCGATTTATCGGCACAACACCGTCCCGAGACCAGACAGCCTTACAGATTCGTGACTTTATTTCAAATTACGCGAAATGAACGAATAATCACAGATCTTTATTTCCGAAAGTTGCTACGGATCAGCTAAAGAAAATACATGATAGCTGCCGGAGACTATCCACTCCATTGTATTTCGTCACTGGCGCCCTCAGCTGAGAACTTTCTATGCACAATAATTCGTGATTAACCGTACGATCGATCGCGATTTTGCATTGCAGCTAAATACGTGACGTGAGCGGGACAAGGAAATGATTTTCGCATCGTACTGAATTTTTAATTTTCATCGGTTAAAACTGATATTTAAATTATGCTGAATATTCAGCAATTAGCATTTACATTTGTTTTTTAATAAATGAGATGGATGTAGTTTGAATACGGTGCAGTCACAAATTTTGCAAATACTTTCGAAGGTAAGACTTTGCGACACATTCCCTGACGCCTGACGCCTGAACGGCATCATGTAGATATTCCACTCGGCGTGTGTCGTCACCGACCTTCTCAGCTGACGTGAAATGGCCGCCTTCTACTGACAGCTGAACCACAAACATGATTTTCCTCTGCTAAAACGTATTCTACTACCATGAAATCAGTGATTTACCCTCTAATACAGAGGTTGGGTCATTTTAATATTAATACCTTGAGGAAATACGATGTATTTCAATAAAAAGATGTTACAGTATGGTATTCAAGCGGTAGTAGGATTATCTCGCGAAGCGAGGCTTCTTTGTTTCGAAGCGTATCGTCAGACCGATCACTCGCTGAGATTTCGTCACAAGCGTTCTCAGCTGATGACAAAATGACCGCTTCGTGTACTCAACTACCAGCTGATTACAAAAGAATCGTTCATAATGGCTAGGAAAATCGACGTTTCCGTTCGATATACGAGGTTGACTGTACGAAATAAGGTAAACGCGCATAGAATTCGTACCGGTTCAGGTATAACCGGCGTACTTTGAGCTCGGTGAGAAAAAAGGACGCCAGAAGGGACGCCGAGTACAGACGTACGAAAAAATGGAGACGGTTGAGAAAGTGGAGGGTCTCGCGAAGCGAAGAGCTTTGGCTAGGGTTCTAGTCTGCGATTTTTTCCCGTTCTTCTCGTTGTCCGGGCGAACGGCCAATGAGAGTAAGTAGGTCAGCGCGGTCGCCCAATCAGGGCTCGAGGCCGGGTCACGTGGGTTTGTTGTTATCTATCAGCTGTTTTTCCCGGGCGGGCGGGTGGCCGGCCGGCGCAGTGAAAGCCGCTTGGTAGTCTATCCTCAGTCCCTCCCGGTCGCTCAGCTGTGCGTCACATGTCGGTTACCGCGAGTCTTACTCCTGCCTGTATACCATCGAATCGTGTACCGCTTGCTCGTTTAGGCTACCGTACTACGCCGGATTTTTATTCACCGGCAAGCGTCAGGCATATATTATGCTATCTACCGTATCCACATCGACGTATTATCACAAATCAATCACCAAGTGCCTCGAATATGCGGACGGCGTGACGAACGCAGGCAACGGTGCACGCCGTTTTGTTGATACATTGAGTCCTGTGTTCAGGCCGCGAAGGCCACCGCGTCCTTCCTCGGTCTAAGAATCGCGGTTTCAATTAACACGCAAAACTGCCTGATTTGTCTTAGGCGTTGTTTAAACGAGTCATCGTGGAACGATGACCTAAAGTGCGTCGCAGTACGGAGCTCAATGAAGTAATAAGAAAGTAGGGGAAGTTCAGGTACCGCGCGAGCATACCTACCCTAAACCAGTGTCCTGTTTCCGGGAGTGCTTTCCAGATATTCAGTCGGTCCCCAGCGGCGGTATCGATCGTATCGTGCTACGATCATTTGACTACGAGCGTTCGGACTGTTGAATCGCGCGTGACATTGTTACTTAGTTATCTTCGTGTTTGTGCTCTGCGATCCGCGTCAATATTTTGACGAAACTTGCGGAAACGTGACCGGTAGTGGAAAATAAATTGCAGTGCAAATGTTATTGACCGACCGATTCATGAGAGATACTTTTAAGGACGATTCGATACACAGTGTTCTGTGAAGGAGTATTGGAGTGCATCGTCGGTCGAACGCTGTCGATTCGAAGCGACATTGATCGGGAACGAGAGCAGAGATCGTTTACACATAGACGAATAATGTCGACGGGAAAGAGGCTGGCCAAACGCAGCATAATCGGCACCAGAGTGTGTGCTCCCGGCGACGACGGGAAGTATTACAGTGGCGTCATTCACGCCGTAAAAACGCCGGCGTCAGCCGCGTCCGAGTCAGGCCTCAGCATTACACCGAAGACTCGCTACTCCGTGCGCTTCGACTCCGTTCCAGGCGGTCGGCCACCGAGTCCGAGCACCGAATACTCCGACCGCGACCTCATCGGGCCTGGCTTTGGATCCGTTACGAGCGCGCACCTCGTGCCCGGCCAGAAGGTCTATTTAACGTACAACGGACGGGAAATTCACGCGGAGGTCACGCAACATCGCGAGCACCTCGACGAAGTGGACGTGATAATTGCACCGAACGGCCAAGAGGTGAGTCTCGATAATACGTCCAATTTTCTTATGCTTCTTTTTCTCGCCATACTTCTTTTTCAATGCCTGCCGTTTCGTTTCGCGTGGTTCGAGGAAGCGGCCGGCCTTCCCGGAACTTTTCGAACGGTATATGTATCGGGGTAACCCTCGGGCGGCGGATGTGCAAACGGTGACGCGGCTATTTTTACTTGCTCCTTCTCTTGTGTCGTTTAATGACAATGTTCACTCTATCAGTTTGATTCGAAATGATACGGTCCTCCCTTCGAAGGTTACGTTCTATTTTTTAATTTCTTCATCAAGAAAATGATTTCAAAGTTAGACCATAATTTAAAAATGAATAATTCGCTTAAATACTATCAGCAATACGATAAACTCCGTATTGAGAAATGGTCTGGTTTGCGTATCGTAGAAGTAGGATAGGGAATAGATTGTGAAATTTCACTTTTGTTTACGTTCATGCATTCGCGCTCTTCTTTTCTATTCACGAAACTGTTTTTCCGTATGTTGTCGATGCGTGCAAGAACAAAAAAGAACGAACAAAGCGTTGGCGAACTGTGCACATTGAGCATAACGAGGTTTGATACGTCATACGTACGCCGGGTCTCGTTGCGTCGTCGGAGCGCAGGTTAGCGCGTGTCGTGAGCGCATGCGCAGGCTGCAAGATCGGTCGTGTTCACGTTCACGACGCGAGAGTATTTTCAGAGAGCGGCGAAAACGCGTTCTCGCGCGCGATAACACACCGTCGCCGGTATCGATGACATGCTCGACGAATTGCAGCGACGGCGTTATGTGTTGACATAGTCCCCAGAGGCGACGTGATGCCTCGTTCGCGGCTTATTGTTAGTAAAATTAGTTCGGAAGCTAGCAAGAGTCGTTTCCTCTCTTTCCGCGTTCTTGTCCAAAGTAATAACATATAATTCAATTTTTGAAGCTATATTCGTCCGTTGACGAAAACTATTTATGAACTTCTGCACTTGTAATATGAAAAGCATAAATTCAACACGTAGTACAATGGAACGTGTACCATAGATATTCATTTGAGATTCGTCAGAATCAGAGTTTCGCAAGTCGAGTTGAGCGATCGCGAGGCGGCTGCCGGCTGTTGCCGGGTGGGTGTGTGTGCGTGCATGCCGTTAATCAGAAAATTTAATTTTCGTGACCTCGTTCCACGAGCGGACTATACAGCGAGTGTCCTATTTACGGGCCGCGCATGAGCGGCGACACTCGCTTCCCCTGTCCTCGGGATAGAGAGGGATGGAAGGGGCAAACGCGTTACCTTGCACTGTTCTATGTAGCTACAGGATACGGATAAATGCGAACAGGCCACGGCGGTTGCGAGGCGTTATCCCGCGCACGCACAATTGAATCCGTTTCTTTTGCTATCCCGCGATCAAACGGATGGCCGGTCGAGAATATTCCGAGAGGAAAGAGATATACTTGATAGCACAGCCTCGATGGTAACTCGACGGTAGAGGGGATAAATATAATATCCAGCGAGCGGACAACAGGTTAACGAATGGGTTAACAGAAGGAAATGCCTGCGTCTCGCTGCGCGTTCGACATTAAGAGTCACACGATACACGAGACCGATGCCAGTTCGTCGATTTTCGACACGCCTTTCTCGAGTTACGGCCGGATAGAATCTGTGCGCTCGCGCGCAAACACGTATACATGTTCTATACACGCGCGTACAGTCGGTTGCCGGGAGCCGCAAGAGTTTTTTGCAGATTCGTAGAAAAGCGTAGCGAGCGCAACGCAATAAGTACTCCATAAAACGAGGGATAGCGCTTATTACGGTCGGTCAGGCGTGGCAGAGAAATAAACGCAGCCTCGATACCGCTACGTGGGCGCGGTTAGATTCGTAATGAGAGGCACTGGCGCGCGGTGGGCTCTCTTGGCTGTCCGTAAAGCCGAAGCTCTTTCCTAGCGCGCGCGTGTGCGCGCGTCTGTGAATGGATGCGGGAGAGGTCGGCTTTTATGCGCGAGCCGGGCTACGGTAGTAGTAGGTACTTGCCGGTGCACCGGCTACCGGTGACCCCACGTGGAACGCATTAGAGCAATATCTTTCTACCTCCGTTAGGTAGCTCAGGCGTGACCATGGTTCCATTTCGTGGAAACTTTGCTGCGCGTGCGCCTCCGGGGGAAAAATGAACCGGATCTGGTCGAGCCGAAGTGTCCGGTTCCGATATGTTCGCGTTTGTTTTGCACCAGTTCGCCGAGAAATCGGCGCGCGGTCCGAGTACTTCATTGCGGCAGTAAACACGCCTTCTTATCTAACGCTAGCGTTATTATCGTTCTCGCTGCTTTTCAACTTTAGATTATACTATATCTGACAATAAAAAGGGAATACCTAAATTTCCTATGACCCGAGAATCTGTACCTTCCTTTTTCTTTGACAATGAATAGAAGCCCCGAGAGCAATATGAAGGGGCAAACCATTTCGACTTTATTCTGACCTGGAAATTATTACCTTTCTTTTCGTTTGACAATCGACATGAGTTCCGAGTTACTGGGATCGTAAATGGTATGGGTTTAGGATTTATTGACGGTAGATTGCCTGAGGGATCATCGATAGGCATCTATATTCCTTTGCTGCAATAAAATTTCTGTCAGGGGACGAAAGTGTAGATCATAAATGAAAATCATGCAAAGACCTTTGTTCGCAAGAGCCACGTGAACAACGATGCCTGCATGTGACATACAAGCAAACATAGTAATTTCGATCATCTCGCTCGCAGTCATAATTAATTTTAAACATTGTATACGCGACGACAATGTAACAGGGCGTGTCCTTCGCACTTCTGCCTTCTTTGATTCATCGCGATCATTTGTAATCCTTAATCGCCGTATAATTAATTCATCGACTGAGTACATACTCTGACGCAAGTCGTTTTTCGCGTCGTTACCTGTTTACACATGCGATACATACGTGAACGTAGATGGCTGACTTTTAGTGACGTCGAAGGTTACTGAAGCGTGAATCGGTAAATACTCGGATGGCGTTTATCTGTTAGCGCAAGTATGCGTAAGTAGTAATTTCAAAGCTTCCGCACGTTCCCCTGGTCGGCGTGCGTTTCGGCGTCGAATAAATATCTTTCATGCGATTCATCGGCACACCCCTTCTGTTAACCCTGATAATATCTTAATAGACAGGGTGCTCGACAGCAACGAGGGACATTCTAGTACCGTAGTCCGAAATACCTGGGTATGGGGAAAACCAGACCCGGTGGGTCCCGGCCATGAGCCGATTGTTAATCCTCTGTTTAGGAGCAATTCAGACTCGTCCCCTTGACTAGTGGGTACTTAAAGCTAAACTCGTACTCTTGGTTGGCGGAGTCCACTGAGGCACGCAGCTTACCTGGATTTTCCCTACCTCGCATTTCGGAGTATAGCAATGAATCGCATGTCCTCAGCTATCGTAAATCATGAGTCTTCCGAAGTCGTGACAACTTCCAGTAGCGTGTATACTCGACACGCTGGTTTTAGTATGAATATTGCAAGTACATCCGTAAGCTTGGAGATGTAGTATTAAAGTTAATTAAATATCTCGTTGAGTGTTACCTAGATGTAAAATAAAACATCTGACAGATTTTGCAGCATCAGAAGCAAATTGATTCAAACGAATTATCTTTTTTAATCATACAGTTTTTATTTTCATAATTTAAATGTATGCGTGCACATAAATATTTCGCATGGACGTGTTTAGTTGTTTATTAACCAGTTCAGTTGCTATCTTACTTTGCCTTATACGAATTCCAACTTCATCGGACGGACTTGATCGCGTAGTAAAACCGCCCCTTTAGCAAATCGTTGCAGCTGCATATCTCCGCGTATATCTTATCGTTAGATTGCGGAATTTTATTCACTTGTAGAAAGCTTATGTACATGCGTTTACGAGAAAGTAAAGAGTGATGACGTTTAGGAAGCAAACATGAACAGTAAAGCTGATTGATTTCTTGTCAAAATTCGCACCGGCCGGCGAAAGTTGAGCGTCACTGAAGCGTACGTTTCGCTGTAACGAAAAGGTAGCACGATACTGTACAGTAGTAATGCGTCCCACTGCGGGAGTGCGTTTCGCCGTTAACGGCACGATCCGTCGGCTCTATGTACGGTCACCACGGAAATATCCGAACCGCGGGGTGCATTCGATATAATGGCCACGTTTAACGGTGTCACTGGTCACCGGCACGGGCGTGAGATGATTGAGTAAGAGATGGTGCGTCCGCGCGAGCTTACTAAGTGCGTGGATCCAAAGATAGATATCCCGGCACCGGCTGACCGAACCTAACTGGCCCGCGACTCTACATACACCGGGCAACGAAATTGAACCAATAAAACTCTTTCACGGGCTGATCACTTGTTTACACGTGTAACCCACTTTCCTGGGCTTCTTCTTAATTTTTTTTACTAATAACTTTCGGATTTTTAAGAACTTCATCTGGAAGTATTTCAAATTTTATAAAAAACTGATTATTAATTCTGCTTTTCTGGGTTACTTCCTAATTATTTTTACTAATAACTTTCGGATTTTTAAGAACTTCATTCAAATTTTATCAAAGCCTGATTTAATTCTATTATCGATAGAACTCTCTTAAATTCAGAATTTGGAGCACAGCAGAATTAGATTTAGTTCGATTTGAAATTCGTTTTTTAAAAAGAAGGAACAGGACGTTTCCAGTTCGCGTGCGTGCTTGTCCAACGAGCTGACGGAGCCTCGCGGATGTTTCGTTCGTACTACACGATCATTCGCGCTATCTTGTTGCCACTGACACTTCCGGTAAACGCGCGGTGGTCTTATCTGCTCGATTCGTTTTACTCTTTCGTTGCCTCGCAAGGAATCCGGAATACGTTTAATTTGTACGCCGGGAAGAAACGTTCGTCCAGCAGCTGTTGACAGCTCCGTGATATCCTTGGCGTAATTCATTGCCCTAGTTGCTCGGCAGCCGCGTTTCAGCAGCAGGTGGCCAATCTCCCGATCTCGCTCGTCTTTTTTCGTCGCA